CTTGGTCACAGATGTGCGAGAGTCTTTGAGCCCCCTCATCTCGATTAAGAACTGACCAAATTTGTTTATTTGTATTTTGCTACAGTGTATTGACAGTGTTTATCAACTTATAATGGAAGTATGTCAAACGTAGATCGATGTAAGGATTCCTATATAAATACAATTATTTGAGAAGGATCTTGCTCTGATGTACACCTCTCACCTAAAATTTCTATTGGTATTTTTAAGTTTTTAATGTAAAACAAGAGGTCCATTGGACCTGTAACGCTCACCTGGTTTTATATATAAGTCATTACAACTGAATCCATTAGTACATCTTTATATGAAATTTCCTCAAAACCAGACAAGATCTATGTTCTAACTCAACTGGGACCACAATATCTGACTTTCAACTAATCAGGGGCCTCCATTGAGTTGCCCTATTAACAGATTTTGAAATAAGTAATATGTCATATTACAGGGTATAACTAGACAATACTTAAATTTTCATTCAACTATAAGCTTTTATAAACCTAGAAACCAATTTTTAACAATTTATGAAAACTTCACTATAGAATATGATAATCTAGCTGTACCATTTCTTAGGACTGCAGGGGTCAAATCAACCTCATTAAATTAAGAAATGTTTGTTCTTCATCAATAATGTTTTTGACCAAACTTTGTACAATCCACTCAGGCAATTAGGGGGTGTTAAAGCAAAACATTAGATAATTTTCCTCTTTTGGGCCCATCCTTCCTAGCCCCAGGGGTCGAACCAGCCTCATTTATTTAGGAAATGATTGCCCTCCCCCAATGAAGTTTCAGAGCAAATTAGGTTAAAACCATGTCTGGTTTTTAGGAGGAGATGTGTTTTAAAGTAAAATTTTAGCTAAGTTCCCCTTCAGGGCCCCGCCCCCTGGCCTCAGGGGTCAAACCAACCTCATTTATTTAAGAAATGATTGCTCTCCCCTACTGATGCTTTTAAAGAAAAAGTTGGCGACGGATGACGGACGCTGCGCCACGGCATAAGCTCACTATGGTCCTTCCTAACTCAAAGAAAACACCCCTCCGCCAGGCCATCAGGTTGTATTGGTATGCTTTTCCAGTTGTCGAGACATGGCATTCAAGCAGTGTTAGACTGTGGCATTACCATATAAAATGATTTTTTCATCACCAAATAACTAATAAGCAAATAACTGAAAACAACAGATTTTAATGTCTAGTTTGTATTGGGTACAGGATACAACCAACTGGGTCTGTACAGCAAGTGTGGAGAACACAACAGCTAACACGATACCCTGGAGATATCAGTAAGGTAATACATCATTTAGAGTGAACAGCAAAGCCGATGTTCTAGGAAACTCTCATAATAGGAATAAGGATTTAGAATAATACTTGCTAAAGAATGGACATTTATTTAAAATCATATATTATAATTGAATGTTAAAATCAATTCATAATAAATATATTAGATTTTTATCTTTGACACACTTCTATATTCATGTTCTACATGAAAACATTAAATATTCAGATAAAGACAATTGCACAAACAGGAACTTTCCTTTAGACATAGACAACACATGTGACTAGAATGATCTTAATACGAAGATGCTTCCAGTTGTGCCAGGAATACATAGTGTTGATTGTTATACCTTCCTTTGTTTTATGATTCAATCATTTCAACATTAGGACATTACTCCAAGTCTTCACAGGACACACCACAGTCTTCTCACACAAACTCTGTGAAGTCTCCTAGTCTTCACAGGACACTACAGTCTTCTCACACAAACTCTGTGAAGTCTCCAAGTCTTCACAGGACACTACAGTCTTCTTACACAAACTCTGTGAAGTCTCCTAGTCTTCGCAGAACACTACAGTCTTCTCACACAAACTCTGTGAAGTCTCCAAGTCTTCACAGGACACACCACAGTCTTCTCACGCAAACTCTGTGAAGTCTCCAAGTCTTCACAGGAAACAACAGTCTTCTCACACAAACTCTGTGTAGTCTCCAAGCCTTCACAGGACACACCACAGTCTTCTCACACAAACTCTGTGAAGTCTGCAAGTCTTCACAGGAGACTACAGTCTTCTCACACAAACTCTGTGAAGTCTCCAAATTCTTCACGGGACACTACAGTCTTCTTACACAAACTCTGTGAAGTTTCCTAGTCTTCGCAGGACACTACAGTCTTCTCACACAAACTCTGTTAAGTCTCCAAGTCTTCACAGGACACACCACAGTCTTCTTACACAAACTCTGTGAAGTCTCCTAGTCTTCACAGCACACTACAGTCTTCTCACACAAACTCTGTGAAGTCTCAAAGTCTTCACAGGACACACCACAGTCTTCTCACGCAAACTCTGTGAAGTCTCCAAGTCTTCACAGGACACCACAGTCTTCTCACACAAACTCTGTTAAGTCTCCAAGTCTTCACAGGACACACCACAGTCTTCTTACACAAACTCTGTGAAGTCTCCAAGTCTTCACAGGAAACAACAGTCTTCTCACACAAACTCTATGAAGTCTCCTAGTCTTCACAGGACACACCACAGTCTTCTCACACAAACTCTGTGAAGTCTGCAAGCCTTCACAGGACACTACAGTCTTCTCACACAAACTCTGTGTAGTCTCCAAGCCTTCACAGGACACACCACAGTCTTCTCACACAAACTCTGTGAAGTCTGCAAGTCTTCACAGGAGACTACAGTCTTCTCACACAAACTCTGTGAAGTCTGCAAGTCTTCACAGGAGACTACAGTCTTCTCACACAAACTCTGTGAAGTCTCCAAATTCTTCACAGGACACTACAGTCTTCTTACACAAACTCTGTGAAGTCTCCTAGTCTTCGCAGAACACTACAGTCTTCTCACACAAACTCTGTGAAGTCTCCTAGTCTTCACAGCACACTACAGTCTTCTCACACAAACTCTGTGAAGTCTGCAAGCCTTCACAGGACACACCACAGTCTTCTCACACAAACTCTGTGAAGTCTGCAAGTCTTCACAGGAAACAACAGTCTTCTCACACAAACTCTGTGAAGTCTCCAAATTCTTCACAGGACACTACAGTCTTCTTACACAAACCCTGTGAAGTCTCCTAGTCTTCACAGGACACTACAGTCTTCTCACACAAACTCTGTGAAGTCTCCAAGTCCTCACAGGACACTACAGTCTTCTCACACAAACTCTGTTAAGTCTCCAAGTCTTCACAGGACACTACAGTCTTCTCTCACAAACTCTGTGTAGTCTCCAAGTCTTCACAGGACACTACAGTCTTCTCTCACAAACTCTGTGTAGTCTCCAAGTCTTCACAGGACACTACAGTCTTCTTACACAAACTCTGTGAAGGTTCCTAGTCTTCGCAGGACACTACAGTCTTCTCACACAAACTCTGTTAAGTCTCCAAGTCTTCACAGGACACTACAGTCTTCTCTCACAAACTCTGTGTAGTCTCCAAGTCTTCACAGGACACTACAGTCTTCTCTCACAAACTCTGTGAAGTCTCCAAGTCTTCACAGGACACTACAGTCTTCTCTCACAAACTCTGTGTAGTCTCCAAGTCTTCACAGGACACTACAGTCTTCTCACCCAAACTCTGTGAAGTCTGCAAGTCTTCACAGGAAACAACAGTCTTCTCACACAAACTCTATGAAGTCTCCTAGTCTTCACAGGACACACCACAGTCTTCTCACACAAACTCTGTGAAGTCTGCAAGTCTTCACAGGACACTACAGTCTTCCCACACAAACTCTGTGAAGTCTCCAAATTCTTCACGGGACACTACAGTCTTCTTACACAAACTCTGTGAAGGTTCCTAGTCTTCGCAGGACACTACAGTCTTCTCACACAAACTCTGTTAAGTCTCCAAGTCTTCACAGGACACACCACAGTCTACTCACACGAACTCTGTAAAGTCTCCTAGTCTTCACAGGACACTACAGTCTTCTCACACAAACTCTGTGAAGTCTCCAAATTCTTCACAGGACACTACAGTCTTCTTACACAAACTCTGTGAAGTCTGCAAGCCTTCACAGGACACTACAGTCGTCTCACACAAACTCTGTTAAGTCTCCTAGTCTTCACAGGACACACCACAGTCTTCTCACACAAACTCTGGGAAGTCTGCAAGTCTTCACAGGACACTAAAGTCTTCTCACACAAACTCTGTGAAGTCTCCAAGTTCTTGGTGTTTTGCTGGTTGTTCCACTTGTTTCACGTTTTCTGTCAATGTCTTCATCTTGATTCGTTTGATCTGGCGAAGTCTCTCTAACCAGTTAGAAGCAAAGGGGTCCTGTGGCTGACTCTGTTGTCTCTGCAGCACCAAGGAGGCCAGCTGAGGAAGTCAATAAAAGAGGTCAACATCACACACAGCTATTACTGGAAGTATTTTTTTCACATAAATGACATGTGTGACCTTCATGGTGGGCTAGGGTTTCAGATGTCAAAAAATGTGACAGCCCTGCATCCCTGAGCAGGTACAGGTTTAATATTATGACACTAGGCCACAGTTTTGTAGAAGTTATTTATATGTTTTTAATGTTTGAATAATATGACCACAAAATAATGTGAAGATATTAATTTCAACATCATTAAGCCTTTTTCCCAGCAACTTGCATGGCAAATATGAATTGTATTTACAATTATTTTCATTATTATTGATTATGAATTATATTTTGATATGGAACTGACAAAAGTAAACAACATTCAAATTTAAACCTAAATCTGAATGAAAAAAACCCATCATGATCCTTGGGTTAGTTGAGCTAAATAGGAAGTTTAATGATAAATGTTTTACAACTTACATCACAGTTCACTGCTATCTGTCTGACCAAATCTGGAAGGTTGGCATCTGATATGATCTTGGTATCTTTGTGTCCAAGAATTTCTGCAATATCTGAATATATTTGGTTATCAAAATTTAATCAATCTGTCAATTATCAATCATTTTCAATACAAATTATTTCTATTACAAACCAGCAAAGAACGGTGATTTTTATTTAACAAAAATATACAATCATTGTGAATTGTTAATGTCATTATTATATAGGGCTCAAGTCATGTGACCTACTTTTAGGTAGTTCTTGCAATGTGACATCTTCATAGGGAGTTCATGTAATGTGACAATCCTAGGAGCTCAAGTCATGTGACATAATTAAAGGAGGTCCATGTCATGTGACAACATTCTAGGAGCTCAAGTCATGTGTCATAATTACAGGAGGTCCATGTCATGTGACAACATCCTAGGAGCTCAAGTCATGTGACATAATTACAGACGGTCCATGTCATGTGACAATATTACAGTGGAATCATGTAACAAATATTTGCAACAGTATAATCTTGATAAACCACCTCAAATCTCAAAATACAGTATGGTTATCCCCATTCTAATTCATATAAGCATGACTTCATAAAAGCAAAATTTCACAATGAGTCAATGTCAGTCAGGAAGCTGTGTTTACCCTAGAAAAGGGTCCGAAATAATATTCTGATATCTGAACCAGAAACCAACAATAGGCCTTTCAAATAAAATAACTGTAGTGTTTTTCCTAGTAAAATGCAGTGTCATGTATTGAACCTATTTGGTGTATTATTGTAACAGAAGGTATCCAGATATTTAAATGTAACAAGAGAAAACCAACATTTGTACATTTATTACATGGTATCAACAACACACAATTCAAATGTTGCCCTTTCTTTCAAAATGCATTTTCAAGCAGGGCACACTTGTTTTAAATAAAAATTGTTAGTTCAGACATTATCTCATATGAAATAGGGAAATTTGTTTGGTATTCCTTGTCAACACTTTGGATCGTGAATGCATAAGGATTACATATAAAAGAATGAAGCAGAATTTACCAATGAAATTCTGTGGTTATTAGAATTCACTAGCAATAACATGCAATCTACTGAGTGAGGAGGCTACCAGTGTGCTGTAACATGTACTCTCCACTAACTACGGCAAATAATACATAGTCACAGATTAACAATTGGAAAACTCAATTCAACCTTTGGTTTAACATTAATTTATATCACCTGGAAAACATGTATATATGAAGGATACAATTTAGTCAAACTATGTTCAGAAGTATAGAAGTAATTTACCAAATGCATGAATCACATGACAATGCATTATGTAGCAATTTTAACTGTGGTGTCATAAAAGCATTCAATGCAACAAACTATGATATTGCTTCAACTGATAATTGTGCGGTTCAAAGTAATTATGATGGTTATAGTGCAAATGATAAACACACATTTTCAACTCATTTAATATTTGAATTCCTATAGAATTTTGTTACTGCATCAGATTGAAAGATCTCAAATTAAAATTCAAAACTTAGCTCAATTAGATCCCGCCATTTATGAATTGTTTGGATTTACGAGCCAATAGCTCTTCCTTCCCAATTAGCATGGAACTTGTGTAAAATTGGAAGTGGATATAAGGGGAAGGCTGGTTGCACTATTTGACCTATTGTAAGGCAGGTAGGACATACAGGGATAAATAAACCAAATTTACATACAATTAAGTCTTATAATCTGACAGATAACATAAAGCAGTTCCAGTTTTTAACATACACATAAATACCTATCACAACAAACCTTAAGGAAACTAACATAAGCTGTAAAATACACATTGTCCCAAAATATACAACAAAAAACATCCCCTAAAATATCCCTCATAATAATGATACACCTACATCACATCCCTCGTAATAATGATACACCTCCATCACATCTCTCGTAATAATGATACCCCTCCATCACATCTCTCGTAATAATGATACACCTCCCTCACATCCCTTGTAATAATGACACATCTCCATCACATACCTCCTAATAATGACACACCTCCATCACATCCCTTGTAATAATGACACATCTCCATCACATACCTCCTAATAATGACACACCTCCATCACATCCCTCATAATAATGCTACACCTCCATCACATCCCTTGTACTAATGACACACCTCCATCACATACCTAGTAATAATGATACACCTCCATCACATCCCACATAATAATGATACACCTCCATCACATCCCTAGTAATAATGATAAACCTCCATGACATTCCTGGTAATAATGATACACCTCCATCACAGCCCATGTAATAATGACACACCTCCATCACATACCTCGTAATAAGGATACACCTCCATCACATCTCTCATAATAATGATACACCTCCATCACATACCTTGTAATAATGATACACCTCCATCACATCCCACATAATAATGATACACCTCCATCCCATCTCTCGTAATAATGATACACCTCCATCACAGCCCATGTAATAATGACACACCTCCATCACATACCTCGTAATAATGACACACCTCCATCACATACCTCGTAATAATGATACACCTCCCTCACATCCCTTGTAATAATGATAAACCTCCATCACATCCCTTGTACTAATGACACACCTCCATCACATCCCTCATAATAATGATACACCTACATCACATCCCGCGTAATAATGATACACCTCCATTACATCCCTTGTAATAATGATACACCTCCATCCCATCCCTCGTAATAATGATACGCCTCCATCACATCTCTCGTAATAATGATAAACCTCCATCACATCCCTTGTACTAATGACACACCTCCATCACATACCTCGTAATAATGATACACCTCCATCACATACCTCGTAATAAGGATACACCTCCATCACATCTCTCATAATAATGATACACCTCCATCACATCTCTCATAATAATGATACACCTCCATCACATACCTTGTAATAATGATACACCTCCATCACATCTCTCATAATAATGATACACCTCTATCACATCCCACATAATAATGATACACCTCCATCACATCCCACATAATAATGATACACCTCCATCACATCCCTTGTACTAATGACACACCTCCATCACATCCCTCATAATAATGCTACACCTCCATCACATCCCTTGTACTAATGACACACCTCCATCACATACCTCGTAATAATGATACACCCAACAAACCTTAAGGAAACTAACATAAGCTGTAAAATACACATTGTCCCCAAATATACAACAAAAAACATCCCCTAAAATATCCCTCATAATAATGATACACCTCCATCACATACCTTGTAATAATGATACACCTCCATCACAGCCCATGTAATAATGACACACCTCCATCACATCTCTCGTAATAATGATACACCTCCCTCACATCCCTTGTAATAATGACACATCTCCATCACATACCTCCTAATAATGACACACCTCCATCACATCCATCCCTCATAATAATGATACACCTCCATCACATCCCTCGTAATAATGATAAACCTCCATGACATTCCTGGTAATAATGATACACCTCCATGACATCCCACGTAATAATGATACACCTCCATCACATCCCTCGTAATAATGATAAACCTCCATCACATCCCTTGTAATAATGACACACCTCCATCACATCCCTCGTAATAATGATACACCTCCATCACAGCCCACGTAAAAATCACACACCTCTATCACATCCCTCGTAATAATGATACACCTTCATCACATCTCTCGTAATAATGATACACCTCCATCACATACCGCGTAATAATGATACACCTCCATCACATACCTCGTAATAATGATACACCTCCATAACATCCCTCGTTATAATGATACACCTCCATTACATCCCACGTAATAATGACACACCTCCATCACATCCCTTGTAATAATGACACACCTCCATCATATACCTCGTAATAATGATACACCTTACAACCCTCTATCAATAAGATATACTCTTTGTTGCTTAATAGCACATTTGAATATTCCCTTTCACCTCTTAACATTAATTCACATGAAAAGTCTCCAACACATATTAACTAAAGAATAACCTCCCTTTCCTTTTTCTATCTCTACATATAACCAACACTCAAGTTTATTCAAATTGATGGATGGCGAGGAGTGAGGAGAGAAATGATGTTTGGTTTATAAGATACTGGTGAAGTTCAGTGAAGTTTATTCTGAGTGATGGATGGCGAGGTGTGAGGAGAGAAATGATGTTTCGTTTATAAGATACTGGTGAAGTTCAGTGAAGCTTATTCTGAGTGATGGATGGCGAGGAGTGAGGAGAGAAATGATGTTTCGTTTATAAGATCCTGGTGAAGTTCAGTGAAGTTTATTCTGAGTGATGGATGGCGAGGTGTGAGGAGAGAAATGATGTTTGGTTTATAAGATAGTGGTGAAGTTCAGTGAAGTTTATTCTGAGTGATGGATGGCGAGGGGTGAGGAGAGAAATGATGTTTGGTTTATAAGATCCTGGTGAAGTTCAGTGAAGCTTATTCTGAGTGATGGATGGCGAGGAGGGAGGAGAGAAATGATGTTTGGTTTATAAGATAGTGGTGAAGTTCAGTGAAGTTTATTCTGAGTGGTGGATGGCGAGGAGTGAGGAGAGAAATGATGTATGCTTTATAAGATACTGGTGAAGTTCAGTGAAGTTTATTGTGAGTGATGGATGGCGAGGTGTGAGGAGAGAAATGACGTTTCGTTTATAAGATACTGGTGAAGTTCAGTGAAGTTTATTGTGAGTGATGGATGGCGAGGAGTGAGGAGAGAAATGATGTATGCTTTATAAGATACTGGTGAAGTTCAGTGAAGTTTATTCTGAGTGTTGGATGGCGAGGTGTGAGGAGAGAAATGATGTTTCGTTTATAATATACTGGTGAAGTTCAGTGAAGCTTATTCTGAGTGATGGATGACGAGGAGTGAGGAGAGAAATGATGTTTGGTTTATAAGATAGTGGTGAAGTTCAGTGAAGTTTATTCTGAGTGATGGATGGCGAGGAATGAGGAGAGAAATGATGTTTGGTTTATAAGATAGTGGTGAAGTTCAGTGAAGTTTATTCTGAGTGTTGGATGGCGAGGTGTGAGGAGAGAAATGATGTTTCGTTTATAAGATCCTGGTGAAGTTCAGTGAAGTTTATTCTGAGTGTTGGATGGCGAGGTGTGAGGAGAGAAATGATGTTTCGTTTATAATATACTGGTGAAGTTCAGTGAAGCTTATTCTGAGGGATGGATGGCGAGGAGTGAGGAGAGAAATGATGTTTGGGTTATTAGATACTGGTGAAGTTCAGTGAAGTTTATTCTGAGTGGTGGATGGCGAGGAGTGAGGAGAGAAATGATGTTTGGTTTATAAGATACTGGTGAAGTTCAGTGAAGCTTATGCTGAGTGATGGATGGCGAGGAGTGAGGAGAGAAATGATGTATGCTTTATAAGATACTGGTGAAGTTCAGTGAAGTTTATTGTGAGTGATGGATGGCGAGGTGTGAGGAGAGAAATGATGTTTCGTTTATAATATACTGGTGAAGTTCAGTGAAGCTTATTCTGAGTGATGGATGGCGAGGAGGGAGGAGAGAAATGATGTTTGGTTTATAAGATAGTGGTGAAGTTCAGTGAAGTTTATTCTGAGTGGTGGATGGCGAGGAGTGAGGAGAGAAATGATGTATGGTTTATAGGATACTGGTGAAGTTCAGTGAAGTTTATTCTGAGTGATGGATGGCGAGGGGTGAGGAGAGAAATGATGTTTCGTTTATAAGATCCTGGTGAAGTTCAGTGAAGTTTATTCTGAGTGATGGATGACGAGGTGTGGACACAGGAATGGACAAGCAGACAAGCAGATAAGAGATAATTAGATAAGACTGTGTTTCCTGTACAAAGATTATAAGACTTTTTTATGCCCAGTGGTGGATGTAGCATAGGGAAATTCCACCCAAGGGGTTTCAAATTGGGTAAAACCTAAGGCATGCTGAGGTTTGTGCCTCAATTTGAAAACCCCAAGGATGGAATTTTCCTATCCTGTGTAGTCATGAAGAAGTATTTTTCTCTCATTGCAATCAACAGAATTATCTCAAAAACTGCCAAAAACTGTTGCAAAAATTATTGCACTGTGGTATCAGAATGTTCCCAATTTCATGATATTACGTCATTGTTGACCCATTGCGAAGTCATTCACGTGAAATGGGGTGTAAGATAGAACTTCTTACACCCATTTCTTACCCTTGACATTTCTGTCATACACACACAAGAATGAGAGAAAGTCCTGTATATCATAGTTTTTTAGAAACATGCAGAGTCTTTATGTCAAAGGTGGTGCAATAATTCTTGCATCCACCAGCTGGTGTCAAATGCTGATACTGATATCACTGTTGTTAATTAAACAAGAGGCCCATGGGCTTTAACGGTCACCTGAGTCCTACAGTATTTATTTTTGTTGTTGAAATATGTACCAAATTGAGTAAAAAATAGTTAAGTATAACGTTAACTTAAGTTTGTCAGGACCATGAGCTGATAATTCCTAGACAGAGTTTCAGTTAAATCGACCTATTAGAACTTGTTTTTAAGTTTGAAATAGTTATTTTCAAAATAGCGGCTGTGGCAGCCATATTGGATTTCTGATTGACCCGAAAAATAACAACACTTTGTCAGGACCATTAGTCTATCATTCCTACAAAGTTTCATCAGTTCAATCGGCCTAGCAGAACTTGAGTGTAAGTTTGAAATAGTTTTTCTAAATGGCGGCCGTGGTGGCCATATTGGATTTCTGATCGACCCGAAAAATAACAACACTTTGTCAGGGAGTTGTCAGTAACCTTCCCATGAAATATCAATGAAATCCCTTAGCCAGTATTTCAGCTTAGGTTGAAAATGCACGACGAAGGACAAAGACGGATAGCAATAGGTCACTTGAGCTAAAGCTCAGGTGACCTGAAAACACATTCCAATGGGCTTACGATTGTAATGTCACAACAAAACGTTGTCATCTGATTGTGACATCAAAATAATAAAAGTCATTGGGTGCACCCAAATGAGATACAGGTATCCCATATCAGTGTTCTGGGTAAGACTTGCATATCTAACATACATAGAGGTGGGAGAACACTTTCTATCTAGGCATAAAGAAAAGTGTAATGAACAAGCACTATATCTACAAACTAAAACCTATAATAAAGAATATAATGATTGGTTTATAATAGATCACATAACAGCAGACACTGATCTTTCCCTATCTCCTAAGGATGAAGAGCTCTGTGTTAGTATACTGCTGTAGTTAGGAGGACCCCAGTATAAGTTAGGGCATACTTTAGATATACGCTGTCAGACAGTGCTTATATAGTGTACACATCAGTACCTGTTGTTATCCTGTCCTGAAACGGCACTAGAACACAAGAGAAAATCAGGTGATGTCATTATCTACTTCCTGTTACAAAATGTTTCGAAATAGAGTAAATATTCAAATTTCAGAAGTAAACTGATAAATCAATAACAGTATAATATCAAATAAATATACATGTAATGTGTTTATCAATATAAATACAATTAGTCGAAACTTGCTTAGCCTTAAACTTTTAACATTTTAAAACATGATTATATATAACTGTGAATACCTACTCATTACAACATTGAGTTAATTGTTTCAATTCAAAGTAGAAGTGAATATGTAAATTAGGATATTAATCTCTATATATTACAATCTTAAATCCTTGCATGTGCATATTATCAACAAAACAAGAGGCCCATGGGCCTTAACGGTCACCTGAGTTCTGATATATCTATACAGAGAGTTGATTTTTGTTTCTAAAACATGAACAGAAATATTATTCAAAGTGACAAAAAACAATAAAACAACTTTATTCAATATCTAGCATACAGATCTAAGACTGAAAAGTATTTGAAACTAGCACCTCTGATTCTAAACAAGGAAAATGAAGCAATTTTAGCACACTGACTCCTTTGGGCCCCGCCCTACAGCCCTTGGGGGTAGGGCTGGCTCAAAATATTTTCAAAGTATTAAACTGTCAACTCACGGTTATAATTCCAATCAATTCAAGTTATCAACATGTAGGTTTTGAAATTTCAGTCAATTTGACCAGTTTTGGCCCCACCCATCAGCCCCTAGGGGTCAGTCAGGGCTGATATGTGCATACCATCAAACTGCTATCCAATACTGATAATGCTAACCCAAATTGAATTACTTCCCATGGAAATTAAACAAATGTTGGTCAAAAATATGATTTCCCTGTATAAACTATAGTAAAGTTTACCCCCTCCCCAGGGGGAAATGTGAGACCCCAGGGTCATGAAATTCACAATTTTGATAAAGCACCTGAAGACCCTCCCATCTCTGAAGAGTATTTGATTCTACCATTTGAGAAGAAGATTTTTGAAATTTTAGTCAATTTGACCCTTTTTGGCCCCACCCCTCAGGTCCCTGGGGGCTGGGGACCATATAATTCACAATATTGGTTGACCTTTGGTCATGGAAGGTTTCTGCAAAATTTCATTGAAATTGGTTCTTGGGTTTTGGAGAAGAAGTCGAAAATGAAAACTGTTTACGGACGCACGACGGCCGACGCACAACAAAAAGCGATCGCAATAGGTCACTTGAGACTTTGTCACAGGCAACCTAAAAAGAGGATCGTATCTTTCAGCTAGCATATCAAATAATATTCACAATGCTTGAATGTTCTGGCCTAATAGAAAAGGCAATGCCAAGTAAATGGATAATTCACATAGAGGACTGTGGATAGACTCTATACTGACGTTCATGCAAACATGACAAAAGTTGTGTATTGGGTCTCTAAACATGCATCAGTAAGGAAGAATGTGACGTGATCCTCTTGGTGAACATACACTACATTGTCAGTACCATGGTCAAACCATCCAAAAGCAGAGTGAATGTTTCAACATTTATACAAACTGAAACTTACATGCCATTTTTCTAATTATTATGTGTAAGCAGTGGCTACACATGCATCCACTCCATTACAGAATGAAACACCAGTCTCTTCACCTTACACCTGATCACTACACTGTAAGGGGAGATAATTTACCTTCCTTAGCCTGTAAAGTGACTGCATTACTCTCGTGGTCCAGGGGTTTGATAACGATATTCACATAGTTAAACTGTCCCTGAAATAAAAATACAGGATTGATGATGGCAATCTCATATTTTATAATGATTTAATACCATAATAATTATACTTCTTATCAAGGAAAGTTTATTCAATGGATAAGACACTTTGACTCTGACTTGCCTTAAAAACATGTGACTTGTGTTACAAGAGTTCAGTATATGGTGGAGTCTTCATGATTCGGACTCTGAATATACACAACTGTCTTCACAGCTATATACTTTACTAAGTGATAAATCAGGAAAGATATGTTTTGTTGAAGAAGAAAGTGTGTGAAATAACAATGTAACTTCGTGAGACCTTGATAGCCCCGATCTTGTAGTCCTCCCCACTGTCATTATACACGATGGTCACATAGTCATTTCCTATGTGGAGCTTCTTGGCATTACAATTTGGGTCGGAGTCCTTGTTAGGCATCAGGGTCGCCACATGGTAAATCACTGTGAAAAGGAAAAGTTTAAATCAATGTTGATGCTTCGTGATGAGGGTATTGGTTAAAACATTTCTGTGTGTATGTAAAATAGAGCTATCCCAATGTAGTAGTGATAATACAGGGATTATAATATAGAGCTATCCCAATGTAGTAGTGATAATACAGGGACTATAATATAGAGCTATCCCAATGTAGTAGTGATAATACAGGGACTATAATATAGAGCTATCCCAATGTAGTAGTGATAATACAGGGACTATAATATAGAGCTATCCCAATGTAGTAGTGATAATACAGGGACTATAATATAGAGCTATCCCAATGTAGTAGTGATAATACAGGGACTATAATATAGAGCTATCCCAATGTAGTAGTGATAATACAGGGACTATAATATAGAGCTATCCCAATGTAGTAGTGATAATACAGGGACTATAATATAGAGCTATCCCAATGTAGTAGTGATAATACAGGGACTATAATATAGAGCTATCCCAATGTAGTAGTGATAATACAGGGACTATAATATAGAGCTATCCCAATGTAGTAGTGATAATACAGGGACTATAATATAGAGCTATCCCAATGTAGTAGTGATAATACAGGGACTATAATATAGAGCTATCCCAATGTAGTAGTGATAATACAGGGACTATAATATAGAGCTATCCCAATGTAGTAGTGATAATACAGGGACTATAATATAGAGCTATCCCAATGTAGTAGTGATAATACAGGGACTATAATATAGAGCTATCCCAATGTAGTAGTGATAATACAGGGACTATAATATAGAGCTATCCCAATGTAGTAGTGATAATACAGGGACTATAATATAGAGCTATCCCAATGTAGTAGTGATAATACAGGGACTATAATATAGAGCTATCCCAATGTAGTAGTGATAATACAGGGACTATAATATAGAGCTATCCCAATGTAGTAGTGATAATACAGGGACTATAATATAGAGCTATCCCAATGTAGTAGTGATAATACAGGGACTATAATATAGAGCTATCCCAATGTAGTAGTGATAATACAGGGACTATAATATAGAGCTATCCCAATGTAGTAGTGATAATACAGGGACTATAATATAGAGCTATCCCAATGTAGTAGTGATAATACAGGGACTATAATATAGAGCTATCCCAATGTAGTAGTGATAATACAGGGACTATAATATAGAGCTATCCCAATGTAGTAGTGATAATACAGGGACTATAATATAGAGCTATCCCAATGTAGTAGTGATAATACAGGGACTATAATATAGAGCTATCCCAATGTAGTAGTGATAATACAGGGACTATAATATAGAGCTATCCCAATGTAGTAGTGATAATACAGGGACTATAATATAGAGCTATCCCAATGTAGTAGTGATAATACAGGGACTATAATATAGAGCTATCCCAATGTAGTAGTGATAATACAGGGACTATAATATAGAGCTATCCCAATGTAGTAGTGATAATACAGGGACTATAATATAGAGCTATCCCAATGTAGTAGTGATAATACAGGGACTATAATATAGAGCTATCCCAATGTAGTAGTGATAATACAGGGACTATAATATAGAGCTATCCCAATGTAGTAGTGATAATACAGGGACTATAATATAGAGCTATCCCAATGTAGTAGTGATAATACAGGGACTATAATATAGAGCTATCCCAATGTAGTAGTGATAATACAGGGACTATAATATAGAGCTATCCCAATGTAGTAGTGATAATACAGGGACTATAATATAGAGCTATCCCAATGTAGTAGTGATAATACAGGGACTATAATATAGAGCTATCCCAATGTAGTAGTGATAATACAGGGACTATAATATAGAGCTATCCCAATGTAGTAGTGATAATACAGGGACTATAATATAGAGCTATCCCAATGTAGTAGTGATAATACAGGGACTATAATATAGAGCTATCCCAATGTAGTAGTGATAATACAGGGACTATAATATAGAGCTATCCCAATGTAGTAGTGATAATACAGGGACTATAATATAGAGCTATCCCAATGTAGTAGTGATAATACAGGGACTATAATATAGAGCTATCCCAATGTAGTAGTGATAATACAGGGACTATAATATAGAGCTATCCCAATGTAGTAGTGATAATACAGGGACTATAATATAGAGCTATCCCAATGTAGTAGTGATAATACAGGGACTATAATATAGAGCTATCCCAATGTAGTAGTGATAATACAGGGACTATAATATAGAGCTATCCCAATGTAGTAGTGATAATACAGGGACTATAATATAGAGCTATCCCAATGTAGTAGTGATAATACAGGGACTATAATATAGAGCTATCCCAATGTAGTAGTGATAATACAGGGACTATAATATAGAGCTATCCCAATGTAGTAGTGATAATACAGGGACTATAATATAGAGCTATCCCAATGTAGTAGTGATAATACAGGGACTATAATATAGAGCTATCCCAATGTAGTAGTGATAATACAGGGACTATAATATAGAGCTATCCCAATGTAGTAGTGATAATACAGGGACTATAATATAGAGCTATCCCAATGTAGTAGTGATAATACAGGGACTATAATATAGAGCTATCCCAATGTAGTAGTGATAATACAGGGACTATAATATAGAGCTATCCCAATGTAGTAGTGATAATACAGGGACTATAATATAGAGCTATCCCAATGTAGTAGTGATAATACAGGGACTATAATATAGAGCTATCCCAATGTAGTAGTGATAATACAGGGACTATAATATAGAGCTATCCCAATGTAGTAGTGATAATACAGGGACTATAATATAGAGCTATCCCAATGTAGTAGTGATAATACAGGGACTATAATATAGAGCTATCCCAATGTAGTAGTGATAATACAGGGACTATAATATAGAGCTATCCCAATGTAGTAGTGATAATACAGGGACTATAATATAGAGCTATCCCAATGTAGTAGTGATAATACAGGGACTATAATATAGAGCTATCCCAATGTAGTAGTGATAATACAGGGACTATAATATAGAGCTATCCCAATGTAGTAGTGATAATACAGGGACTATAATATAGAGCTATCCCAATGTAGTAGTGATAATACAGGGACTATAATATAGAGCTATCCCAATGTAGTAGTGATAATACAGGGACTATAATATAGAGCTATCCCAATGTAGTAGTGATAATACAGGGACTATAATATAGAGCTATCCCAATGTAGTAGTGATAATACAGGGACTATAATATAGAGCTATCCCAATGTAGTAGTGATAATACAGGGACTATAATATAGAGCTATCCCAATGTAGTAGTGATAATACAGGGACTATAATATAGAGCTATCCCAATGTAGTAGTGATAATACAGGGACTATAATATAGAGCTATCCCAATGTAGTAGTGATAATACAGGGACTATAATATAGAGCTATCCCAATGTAGTAGTGATAATACAGGGACTATAATATAGAGCTATCCCAATGTAGTAGTGATAATACAGGGACTATAATATAGAGCTATCCCAATGTAGTAGTGATAATACAGGGACTATAATATAGAGCTATCCCAATGTAGTAGTGATAATACAGGGACTATAATATAGAGCTATCCCAATGTAGTAGTGATAATACAGGGACTATAATATAGAGCTATCCCAATGTAGTAGTGATAATACAGGGACTATAATATAGAGCTATCCCAATGTAGTAGTGATAATACAGGGACTATAATATAGAGCTATCCCAATGTAGTAGTGATAATACAGGGACTATAATATAGAGCTATCCCAATGTAGTAGTGATAATACAGGGACTATAATATAGAGCTATCCCAATGTAGTAGTGATAATACAGGGACTATAATATAGAGCTATCCCAATGTAGTAGTGATAATACAGGGACTATAATATAGAGCTATCCCAATGTAGTAGTGATAATACAGGGACTATAATATAGAGCTATCCCAATGTAGTAGTGATAATACAGGGACTATAATATAGAGCTATCCCAATGTAGTAGTGATAATACAGGGACTATAATATAGAGCTATCCCAATGTAGTAGTGATAATACAGGGACTATAATATAGAGCTATCCCAATGTAGTAGTGATAATACAGGGACTATAATATAGAGCTATCCCAATGTAGTAGTGATAATACAGGGACTATAATATAGAGCTATCCCAATGTAGTAGTGATAATACAGGGACTATAATATAGAGCTATCCCAATGTAGTAGTGATAATACAGGGACTATAATATAGAGCTATCCCAATGTAGTAGTGATAATACAGGGACTATAATATAGAGCTATCCCAATGTAGTAGTGATAATACAGGGACTATAATATAGAGCTATCCCAATGTAGTAGTGATAATACAGGGACTATAATATAGAGCTATCCCAATGTAGTAGTGATAATACAGGGACTATAATATAGAGCTATCCCAATGTAGTAGTGATAATACAGGGACTATAATATAGAGCTATCCCAATGTAGTAGTGATAATACAGGGACTATAATATAGAGCTATCCCAATGTAGTAGTGATAATACAGGGACTATAATATAGAGCTATCCCAATGTAGTAGTGATAATACAGGGACTATAATATAGAGCTATCCCAATGTAGTAGTGATAATACAGGGACTATAATATAGAGCTATCCCAATGTAGTAGTGATAATACAGGGACTATAATATAGAGCTATCCCAATGTAGTAGTGATAATACAGGGACTATAATATAGAGCTATCCCAATGTAGTAGTGATAATACAGGGACTATAATATAGAGCTATCCCAATGTAGTAGTGATAATACAGGGACTATAATATAGAGCTATCCCAATGTAGTAGTGATAATACAGGGACTATAATATAGAGCTATCCCAATGTAGTAGTGATAATACAGGGACTATAATATAGAGCTATCCCAATGTAGTAGTGATAATACAGGGACTATAATATAGAGCTATCCCAATGTAGTAGTGATAATACAGGGACTATAATATAGAGCTATCCCAATGTAGTAGTGATAATACAGGGACTATAATATAGAGCTATCCCAATGTAGTAGTGATAATACAGGGACTATAATATAGAGCTATCCCAATGTAGTAGTGATAATACAGGGACTATAATATAGAGCTATCCCAATGTAGTAGTGATAATACAGGGACTATAATATAGAGCTATCCCAATGTAGTAGTGATAATACAGGGACTATAATATAGAGCTATCCCAATGTAGTAGTGATAATACAGGGACTATAATATAGAGCTATCCCAATGTAGTAGTGATAATACAGGGACTATAATATAGAGCTATCCCAATGTAGTAGTGATAATACAGGGACTATAATATAGAGCTATCCCAATGTAGTAGTGATAATACAGGGACTATAATATAGAGCTATCCCAATGTAGTAGTGATAATACAGGGACTATAATATAGAGCTATCCCAATGTAGTAGTGATAATACAGGGACTATAATATAGAGCTATCCCAATGTAGTAGTGATAATACAGGGACTATAATATAGAGCTATCCCAATGTAGTAGTGATAATACAGGGACTATAATATAGAGCTATCCCAATGTAGTAGTGATAATACAGGGACTATAATATAGAGCTATCCCAATGTAGTAGTGATAATACAGGGACTATAATATAGAGCTATCCCAATGTAGTAGTGATAATACAGGGACTATAATATAGAGCTATCCCAATGTAGTAGTGATAATACAGGGACTATAATATAGAGCTATCCCAATGTAGTAGTGATAATACAGGGACTATAATATAGAGCTATCCCAATGTAGTAGTGATAATACAGGGACTATAATATAGAGCTATCCCAATGTAGTAGTGATAATACAGGGACTATAATATAGAGCTATCCCAATGTAGTAGTGATAATACAGGGACTATAATATAGAGCTATCCCAATGTAGTAGTGATAATACAGGGACTATAATATAGAGCTATCCCAATGTAGTAGTGATAATACAGGGACTATAATATAGAGCTATCCCAATGTAGTAGTGATAATACAGGGACTATAATATAGAGCTATCCCAATGTAGTAGTGATAATACAGGGACTATAATATAGAGCTATCCCAATGTAGTAGTGATAATACAGGGACTATAATATAGAGCTATCCCAATGTAGTAGTGATAATACAGGGACTATAATATAGAGCTATCCCAATGTAGTAGTGATAATACAGGGACTATAATATAGAGCTATCCCAATGTAGTAGTGATAATACAGGGACTATAATATAGAGCTATCCCAATGTAGTAGTGATAATACAGGGACTATAATATAGAGCTATCCCAATGTAGTAGTGATAATACAGGGACTATAATATAGAGCTATCCCAATGTAGTAGTGATAATACAGGGACTATAATATAGAGCTATCCCAATGTAGTAGTGATAATACAGGGACTATAATATAGAGCTATCCCAATGTAGTAGTGATAATACAGGGACTATAATATAGAGCTATCCCAATGTAGTAGTGATAATACAGGGACTATAATATAGAGCTATCCCAATGTAGTAGTGATAATACAGGGACTATAATATAGAGCTATCCCAATGTAGTAGTGATAATACAGGGACTATAATATAGAGCTATCCCAATGTAGTAGTGATAATACAGGGACTATAATATAGAGCTATCCCAATGTAGTAGTGATAATACAGGGACTATAATATAGAGCTATCCCAATGTAGTAGTGATAATACAGGGACTATAATATAGAGCTATCCCAATGTAGTAGTGATAATACAGGGACTATAATATAGAGCTATCCCAATGTAGTAGTGATAATACAGGGACTATAATATAGAGCTATCCCAATGTAGTAGTGATAATACAGGGACTATAATATAGAGCTATCCCAATGTAGTAGTGATAATACAGGGACTATAATATAGAGCTATCCCAATGTAGTAGTGATAATACAGGGACTATAATATAGAGCTATCCCAATGTAGTAGTGATAATACAGGGACTATAATATAGAGCTATCCCAATGTAGTAGTGATAATACAGGGACTATAATATAGAGCTATCCCAATGTAGTAGTGATAATACAGGGACTATAATATAGAGCTATCCCAATGTAGTAGTGATAATACAGGGACTATAATATAGAGCTATCCCAATGTAGTAGTGATAATACAGGGACTATAATATAGAGCTATCCCAATGTAGTAGTGATAATACAGGGACTATAATATAGAGCTATCCCAATGTAGTAGTGATAATACAGGGACTATAATATAGAGCTATCCCAATGTAGTAGTGATAATACAGGGACTATAATATAGAGCTATCCCAATGTAGTAATGATAATACAGGGACTATAATATAGAGCTATCCCAATGTAGTAGTGATAATACAGGGATTATAAGATAGAGCTGTCCCAATGTAGTAGTGATAATACAGGGTTGTAAGAAATATCTGATGGCTCTTTACTAACAGGGTGGTAACTGTGACTTCTAACTTGAGGGTTATACTAAATTTGTCTTTCCCTACCTAATTAAATCTCAACCAAAGGGGCAAGATTCTCAAATGTCTACCCAATGCTTTGCTTAGGGCTAAACTTTTAAGAATCTTTCCCAGAGGGTGGAGATTTTTCTGTCTTACTCCAAAAGTGGGAAAAGATTACTTTTCTCCCACATCAAAAACAAGAGGTAATTTCATGAATTTACAGCAAATTAGAGTTATCTTTTATGATCAAGTATGGTTGATGTGAGGTCACACGATTGTTATGACAGGGGTATGGCCTGTTTTTACTCTAGTGTAAGACAGACTTATCTTTCCCTGATCAGTTAACCTCAGGGTAAATATACTTGTTATCAGAGGCTTGCTTTTATCTGAGGCGTAGACAGTCACAAACCTAACCTTGAGAATTGACACTTCTACCCTCACTGTATGGGAATGATTTTGGTATTACTCCAACTTGTAACCACATGGTTGGAATTCCTACACACGTTTCAATTATCTCCTATTCTTGTAATTTTTGTAAAATATTCAGTATCTTTGTATACAAACAGAGGCTTTATGTTTCAAGTATAAGTCATCTTTTTAGTTCATGTCTCCAGTCTTTGGTTTGACATTTCTGATGACCAAATTAGTCACTTCTGTTTTAGAGGTATGCATACAATTTAAATCAAAATCATCATAACATGACCTTTCCTCTTTTTACACTTCTAAATAACTGATGCCCACATTGACTGGTGGAATACACTGCTATCAATTACTACAACAAACTCGTGAATGCACAAATCATAGATTTTCATCATAAGGAAGTGAAGATTGTTTTAAAAGAATAATTATCTTTTTAACAGTTAAGTTATTGATGCCAAAAGATAGGATGCCTTTATATGTCTTCTTTGTAATATGGCTATCACCTGTGTCGAAGTTATTATAAGCAGGAAAACATAACTTTAGTTGCCCATAAAGAGGTCGGATAGATCTTACCATATGTGATCTTGACCTGCCAGCTGTAAGCATACTATCATTGTCATAAACAAATGATAGATCTACTAGACTCACCATGCATAGTCTCATCCTGCCAGCTGTAGGCAAACTGTCCATCACTGCCATGAACGTCCAGTCCCCCAATGTATACCCTGTTAGGGTCACAGTCAGACAGGCGTATCAAGTGTCCCAGGCCCTGCAGGAACTGGGCATACTTCTCTGATCCATATGGATTGCGTAGGATCGCCTTCTCATCCTTGGTCTACAAAATTGCATGTATATTAAAAGTACAAGTTCAATTTCAATTTCTCCATTAGACATGTATGTTGTAAATGACATCCGCATACCCAAGTTGCCAAGTCAACAGTCTGGCAAACGTTACCGATCACCTTTGTTACTGATCACTGACCTCAGTTGTTGGTCACCAACACACTCTTCCATTGATAATATATTTCCACAAAAAGGAACAAATCTCAAACATCAAACAACTTATTAAAGAATTGCTGCCAAGTAAATGTAATCACAATGTTGCCAATATCCCTCACTGCTAAACTATGGACTTGATTTGTAGAGACATGCCGGAAGCTAATATGATAACCCACTTACATGTCACTCCACCATCCCAAGATGTACAAGCATACCAACTTTGATGATCACAGGTAAAATGATGTGGGAGTTATGCTCTGGTCAACTGGTATCTCACATATTTTGCACTTTCAATAAAGGTTGAAGGTCAAAATGTAGGTCAGAATGATGTGATACTTTCCAAAATGCATCAGCATTTTAGCGTTGGTGATCGCAGGTGAAGAAATGTGGGAGGTATGCTCTGGGGGATAATTGTTAAGACTATTATTCTAACAAAATTTAGATGAATGAGTAAACAGATTGTTAAATCAGTTCTTACCTGGCCAGACCCTACATAGATTATGCCGACTTTGTGAGTCTCGTATGGATGTATGTGGTCAAGCATCTTCAAACCTCTTGTAATAGCCTGTGGAATAAGGATGAGATTAGGTTACACATATAGTCATGGTTTCTTGATGACCAACAGTTTTAATTTGTGAGTGAGGTGATTTTGTTTTATGGTTTTCACAAGATGTGTAGAATGAGCCAAAAAGAAGGAGAAAGTAAGCCTAAAAGTGAAATACAACTATATTTTTGGATAAAATAGGAAAATTCATCTTAAAGGCATAAACCTAGGTACGTAAGCCATAAACTAATACCCCCCCTCCCACATGTAAAAGGGGTCCTAAGTTCTCTCAACTCTCATACAAGTAACAGCCCTGTATAAGCCTTGGTAACTCTCCTCACATCTACTGCTGACAATGTCCCACAACTGTTGTTGTAGAGGCCATGGAACATTGTCATGTTTCATGTTCTATGTTAAGGTAACGAGATGATGATTCCAATATATCCAGGTTATCAAGTGAATGTCAAGGAAGACTGTAAATATACACGGTAACTTTATTGCATGGTGTAGAATGATCAGAAGAATTGCTACCATGGCTACTGTTCCTACATGTAGTGTGACAATGTCCAGGTGTCAATCAGAAGTGAACACAAACCAGGTGCGTTAAAAGGGGAAGCTGTAATCATATGCAGAATTACACATTCAAATGAGGATATATTTGTCAGGGAATTAAAATAAAACTGATGTAGACAAATTCAAATTATGCAACAATTCTAAAGATGAAGTGTAAATATACCTGATTGTCTGGCAGTAGGATAGGCATGTCATTGCCCTGGTGTAACATGCCCCCATGATACAGCTGCAAGAACACAAAGCTAGGGTTCACGCCCCCACGCCCACTCTCCTTTGGGGTGATGACCTTTGACCTCCCTTGCACATATTTCTCCTCGCCTTTTGAGTCTGTTGTAACTATGGAGATGGTGTGACCCCTTAACTTTCTGAAGGCAGGAAGATCTGTTACCTCATCCTGAAGAGAAGATGTTTCGGAACTGTCTGGTGACTGAGATAAATCTAGCAGGTGATGGCTACCCTTCACTGGTGAGGTTGGTTGGCTAAGGTTAGTAAGTGGCGGAGGTGGTCTTCTACGTTCATGGTTGTCTGACAAAGATAAGCTCAGGTTGGCACTGTTGGAATGAGCTGATTGGCTGTGGGCGTTGATACTAGGCCCCACCTCTCTTTCTGCTCGGTTGACGTCCACTAGGGCCATATCACTGATGCTTTCCTTCATGTCGACATTGTCAGCACTGCCACTGAGCAGGGAGGGGGAAGAGTTACTCCTTTTGAGGAGGTGGGTATGGGAGGCCGGATCATTAGGACTGTTCTCAGTAGCCAAAGCTGGACCTCCATCCTCCTAGAACAAAAAGATGCATGTTAAAAGATCTCAATTATTATAATCAACCAGAAGTATGCATAACTTCATTACATTAAAAAAGAAATCTGTATTTACAGGTAAGCTAGCTTTCTTGAAAGGACCAGTAAATATGATGGTTAAACCTTGTTACTGTATATAAATGCCTCTTCCTATCTACTTGAATAGTTAGAACCTATACATTGGGCAAGTTAATATTTAAGAGAAATGCTTTATGTAATCAAAAGAATTTTTATTCGAACAAGATGAAGAATACAAGGTAAAATTAAAACACTTTCTTGCAATTTTCCAGGTCTGGATTCTGTTATGAAGCACAAAAATTAAACCAAAAGATTTTAAATAATTGACTAAATTCTTATGGTACATTAATTTGAACACAAAAATCCTGTACATGTATATCGAGTAAATTCCATCATGGGGTTCACTTTCTTACCTTGGAAATTGATTCAGACTGGCTTAGGTTAATTTCTGTAAGTAAAACAGTTAAAACATCAGAAATAAGTATTAGTCATCAATTCCCACCTTCAAGAGCTAGTAGATGATACTGAAATCATGTACACCGTCATTCATGTACATCAACATTGATGTATGTATCTTTTAATATTGTGTCGCAACAAGCTCAGGATAGGTTGGTTTCTTTATTTTATGTCTACCGGTTTCGCCCGAACATGTGGGCTTCTTCTGGACCGGGCGAAACCGGTAGACATACAATAAAGAAACCAACCTATCCTGAGCTTGTTGCGATTGAATATTGCCTTTAGTTTCCCGTTCCTCAATCGCCCTGCATACCCCTGGGTATCCAAGCAAGGGATGACGGAACCTACAGAACCTAGACTAGAAGTACGGCGTCGGCTCTACACCCGATGATTTGTTTTAATATTGTGTATACTTAGAATTAGAACACCGTATAAAAAACAAGAAAAAAATAACAAAAATGGTTATAATGATAAAAATATTACTATTTCACTGAATAAATTTAAGTTATGGCTGAATATATTAGAAGTTATCTTAAGTTTTATTTTCAAAGTACTATTTTTCCTGGCATTCTGGGCAGTGTCTTTCTAGCTCATATAGAAGACGAAGCACCTTTTTAGCATTTTCAGTCCAGAAAGATCCAAAATAATTAAAAAAGCCAAGTAGCTAAAACCTTAATGGTACTGTCTACTAAGTTGTTAAGAATATGCTGTAGATGATATACCAAGATCATGGATGTACATGTTTACACTTACATATTGCTCATGAGGAAAATTATCAGATCATTTGACAATTGCTGATGTACATCATGTAATTGTACATCAGTATAAATGGCATACATTAGTGCTGAAGCATCAGTTGGATAAGAAAATACAGGTGTCTTAAGTGATACCATTCAATCATGCAAGTTACACCAACAAATCAATAGAGAAATTAGTAAAAATAATAATGCAATGTAAAACAGATGCATAATTGTTCATGATAAAAGCAAAAGTAACTAATGATTGCGGATTTTAAAGTCAAATTAAGCCAAAGTCAGAAAATAATACAAAATGAAACGTATGAAATTTACTTATGATAAACATTGATTCACCAACCTTTGTCTGCCTTTACTTGGATGTCACAACCTAATGGAAAAAAGGTCATGTCAAGGTCACACAAAAAATAACATCAGCTATACTACTTCCTCAAGGTCACACATCACCAATGCTACTCTGCCAAAGTCACACATCACCAATGCTACTTTCTCAAGGTCACACATCACCAATGCTACTCTGCCATGGTCACACATCACCAATGCTACTCTTCCAAGGTCACACATCACCTATGCTACTCTCTCAAGGTCACACATCACCAATGCTACTCTCTCAAGGTCACACATAACCAATGCTACTCTGCCAAGGTCGCACATCACCAATACTACTCCCTGAAGGTCACACATCACCAATGCTACTCTCTCAAGGTCACACATCACCAATGCTACTCTCTCAAGGTTACACATCACCAATGCTACTCTGCCAAGGTCACACATCACCAATGCTACTCTGCCAAGGACACACATCACCAATGCTACTCTGCCAAGGTCACACATCACCAATGCTACTCTGCCAAGGTCACACATCACCAATGCTACTTTCTCTAGGACACACATCACCTATGCTACTCTCTCAAGGTCACACATCACCAATGCTACTCTCTCAAGGTCATACATCACCAATATTACTCCCTGAAGGTCACACATGACCAATGCTATCCTTTCAGTCACATGTCACCTATACTACCCTGTCAAGGTCACATATCATTAGTACTGCTCTCTCAATGTTACACATCACTCTAAGGACATAAATAAGATTGGTGAGACACTTACTTCTGTGGTCACTGCTGGAGTCTGAGGGGAAGTGGAGGTCATACAAGGACTCATACTCCTCCTCCCCAATACTCCCGCTGTCTATCCGACTCGAGCTCCGCAGACTGTCCATGTCTGGTGGCTTGTTACGCATGGCTGCAAACAGCATGGTGATGTCGGTCATGGGCGACTCCTGGAGAGAAGTCAGGCTTGTCTCATTCTCGATACGCATCATCCACGATAGGTTTCCGCTTGGGGCACGTATCATGATTTCTGCCCATCCAGTACACCAACAGTTACACATCAGACTGTTCAGCACACGTCCATCTGATGTCTGGTTCTTCACCCCTATAACAGTCAGTATTTACTAAATAAATGCTTTTTCATACGATAAAATCCAATAAATAATATTCAGGTTTTTTCCCAAATGATTGATTCTTCACTTCTGAGTCAAGCTTGTACATCTACTATTGTTGCTATGGTTAATAGAGATTGACAATCTGGTACATAGTACATGTAGTGAGATATCTTATCAGAGCTGTGTTATCCTAGTTAAGGTCTTTATACACATTGCATGGCTGTTCTGACATCATATTGGTGACTTACACACAGGGGTTGGTGTTTACAATGTAAGTGTGTCATGGTTTGGAGGATGAGTGTTCTGAGTAAGGGATAAGTCTCTACAAGTAACCTACCCCAGAGAAGGGACTCTCTGGCCTCCGTGTCAAACCCAGGTTTGGAGGGTGAGTGTTCTGAGTAAGGGATAAGTCTCTACAAGTAACCTACCCCAGAGAAGGGACTCTATGGCCTCCGTGTCAAACCCAGGTTTGGAGGGTGAGTGTTCTGAATAAGGGACAAGTCTCTACAAGTAACCTACCCCACAGAAGGGACTCTATGGCCTCTGTGTCAAATCCAGGTTTGGAGGGCGAGTGTTCTGAGTAAGGGACAAGTCTTTACAAGTAACCTACCCCACAGAAGGGACTCTATGGCCTCCGTGTCAAATCCAGGTTTGGAGGGCGAGTGTTCTGAGTAAGGGACAAGTCTCTACAAGTAACCTACCCCAGAGAAGGGACTCTATGGCCTCTGTGTCGAATCCAGGTTTGGAGGGTGAGTGTTCAGTCAGTGAACGACCTGTCTGTACTGCTACATTCTGCTGTTCCTCCCCTATAAGACTCGTATCATCATAAGATGTGTGTGCCTGAATACCGATGTCATCACTACTTGACTTGGAGGACTCCTGTACCGTACTTGTACTTCGGCTAAGCACAGCAGACTTATGGCGTCGGCGCCCCGGGGTGTCTGGCTGAGGCAGCTTCTTCTCTTGGGGTTCTCCACCTTGGATCTGGGCCATACACTGGTCACACAGCCATGTGTTACCAAACTTATTATTGCCACCCCCACTAGTTGTTATAGTAACCACTTTATTCCCTAGCATCCATGTTTTGGTCTGTCCTCCTTTCAGCAGAAATTCTGCCTCCTGTGACCTGGGTAAAAGAAGGATACTTTAAATATCAATCATCAGAAAGATGGTGGTGTGCACATTCTTTTCCTGACATGAATTTTAACCATGCAACAAATTTGAAACAAAACTGGAGCACTAATGGGTCAGTAGGGGCCCTGCCATGTGCCTTACCATTTTAAGTAACAGTGACCTTGACCTTAGAAACTTTTCAAACTCCCCTTGCATATTATCTTCATATCATAATGTACAATCATGTTAAATTTCAAAAAGATTAGTCTGTTAGATTCTGAGTTAATCTCTAGAAATAGAAAGTGTGGACAGATAGATGATTGCTATACTGATTATTATAGGGCACCTGCATCTTCAATGAAGGTCCTATAAGTGCCTAAAAGTCAGACTTTAAGGAATTCATATCTTTTCCCATCATAAGATTGAAATGCAATCTTTTTCTTAAGACCAACAATGATACAATACATTAACCAAAACAGAAATATCCACATTTTTTATCTCTCATTTTTTTTAGACATGAAACCTAATGTTAAAGACTTCATCACTGTTACCTTGTCTGATCTCATCAGTAACAAACATGTACCTGTGAGGGACAGCGTTGTAGTTGGCAAATGTGTATCTGGCCATGAAGTCTGTGCATGTCTCTGTGAGCTCCTTGTGGAACTGTGACATCTTGTCGTCTACTGGGGGGTGGTATCTCTGTCTGGATATAGATGACCCAGACAGCATTCTCCGCCGACTTCAATACAATTATTAGTTAGCAGTTAATATTTAATTCTTAACCTGAAGGTCCCGGGATCAGCTGATTTTTTCTACATTTTCAACATTATTTTTGATATATGAGTAAAATATTTATGCTCAAACTGTAATGTGTTGTGTTGATGATAGATTTAGTTTTGGGACTCAGATATTTTATGAGTTTGGACTCATGCTTTCCCTATAGGACTCATTAGTTGTTTGAGAACCCACTATATCTCTTAGTAATGATACTGATCAAAATTTTGGAAAAAAAAATGGCCAGGACTTGCCAAAAAATAGTTTGATGATACTCAGCCACGTTTCTTCTACACTCTCTATCAATGTGTTTTTCTTGTAAAGGATACAACAGATATATTTCCACATTGCTGGGAATTTCCTACCTTATGTTGCTAAGCATTGAATACATTACCTGCTGAGAGCTGCCTCGTTGCACGTGGCTGCTCTGTTCCTGTCAGTCGAGTCCTCATTCTGAAGCTGCAGCATGGAGTTTTCCTCAAACAATTGCAGCACATTGGCTCGCAGTCCCTGTAAACAGTAGTGTTACCAAAAATGTAAGCCTGAAGACTTACCTGGGTAATGGCATGTACAAATATTCTTGTTTCTAACATACAGCCTCTAAATAGCGCTAATAACTCAAAATGTCATAAATAGATCATAAAACAAGCTCTATGGAGCTTTGATTAGAGAGCACCTAAGGGAACTAATGTTGTTGTCTCAGTGGGGAAAACCACCATGCCATTGGAGGGATAACAATTATCAGCTACCTCTGGGGATCAAACTGAGGCACCAATAACACAAAAAGCTTTCTACCACAACCTGTGTATGTTACAACAAGCTCAGTTGAGCGATTCTAGTATACTATACCTTAACAGTATTTCTAATGTGTGATTTCTAATATAAAACGAATCTTATAAAACACCTTGAGTGTACAGATTGAAAAGATTGTTTTATTTAGATCAATTTAGATAGGATTTATTAAGTGATAATTATGTTATTTTCCTGTGTCAGTCAACATTGACAGTAAGTATATGGGCATATGTCTCGGTCATGTATTCTAAACAACCTCCATCATCAAGGTAACTTATTTATCATGGTAAATAGTATACGACTAGATTCTTTCTGATACCAACCTTCTGTATAAACTTGACAAAGCCTTTCCTAAAAGGGACTCGACAGCGTATGAACCAGATAGCGATGACATGGTGAGCCAGGGACACAGTGTAATGGCTGAATCTGCAATAGTTTGTGGAATTATATTTTTAAATACTTCGACTTTCCATATTTTATATCAGTAAGTGTAACACTTGAGTTTAAATCTAATGATCAGTGTCATTAACTCACTTTGTTGTACACTGTCTAGTTACTCAAAGTAGTGAGCCACACAATTCCTAAATATAGTGTTTCATCACCATATAATGAATTATTAAAATTAAATTTCTAAAAAAACATACTTTTTCTGTAAAAATATGGCCAATTACATCTATTTAAATTCACATTCACAGTTGAATGGACTCTTTAGTATTAAACTTTCAACAATTTCAAATCTGACAAACAGAAACCTTATTTTCACATGCTTCAAAACAACAGTGACTGTTCAACCGTCCATTAAATGGAATATCTTACTTGAACGGGTTAGTATATGGCAATGCTATCGCAAACACGCTCATATATTCATCCTCAACAAAGTTGGCATACATCTTTGGCAGACGTACAATACCTATCACATGATAAAACAAAAAAACATTTATTAATTCATCTCAAGTATTACAGTTGTTTCAAAACATGGTAAATATACATTTTGTTACTTTTAACTTTTATTGTAAGTAGAGCATTATGTTTTTAGTTCAAAGTTTTGACATTTTTATCAAAATTTTCTATAATGGAAATTTTAAAAGCATTTCTCATATTAAGACAGATTGTAAATGAACAGAAACTGCTGTCGAATATCAAATAGTAATGGGTGACATGGTTTTACATTTCTTGAATGTTAATTTAGTTTATTTCAAAAAGGAGTCTATCAGCAGTATGAGGGGTGAAAATGTCCCTGATTATAGACTTTACAAAGAACGAACACAGTCCAGGTAAGAGTGAGCCACATATACAGCTAACCTGTAGCTATGACAACATGGATCACCATGGTGATGTTTAACACATACAAATATTGACTTACTTGAAAGAAATGCAAGTACAGGTATTGCCATGGAGATAGTGGCAGATATTTTGGAGAGCTGGAGCAGGACCGACGGCAGCTGCCTCATCATCACTTCCTGCATCTCCAGTGTACACAAACGTAAGGCGTTGGTACACAGCTTGGCACACTTGGACACCAAACCAAACTCAAGGCACTTGATCAACTCTTTCTGTAACACACACATACTAAATAGCGTAAGACCTTTTTCTAACTTCACTGCAACACAGAACAATTACTCAAGATAATGCTTTTGTAACCCACATTACCAGATCAGACTCCAGATACTTTATCAACATCAGCCCTTTCTGTAGCAAACAACACCAACCCAAAGTTAAGAGTATTGTATGAATACTTCATTATGCAGATGGAGTTTTCTAAGGGGCGTGGAGGGAGATGCTAGCTTTCGTGCACCTACAGGTAGTTGAAATAGGCTTTTTTTTAAGCTTGCACCAATGACAATGTGCCATTATTCAATAACAAGAATTCCACGGAAGTGGATGTGTCGCCTGCGCAGGAAGCTGGGAGATTACGAAGAAATAGATACACTTTTCATTTCAAGAAATAATGTTAAAAGTAAGCAATAATCATAGATTATATTTTTGGATGGCATCATATTGTTATATATTCTGGGAAGAATTCACTTTAAGGAACTTGCTATGGATACTCATTGTCTCAATTCCAAGTTTAATTTGTATGATTTGTCGGATGGTTTCCCATAAATAAATGAATAAACTTGTGGATTATGATGTTAAACAGCTAGTGTTGTCAATAACATTTGGAGTAAGACGGCATTTCAGAGGTATACACGGTGAACAAGTGGTAGATCGAAGCCGTCCAGTATACAGTTTTAGTGAAGTTTCTATTTATAGTAACAGTGACCTTGACCTTTGACCTTCGGACCTGAAAAGCAATCCCAAGCAAGCACTTTTGGTAAGGAAGCACTGCATGAAGTTTGAGTTTGATCGGCCCAAGGAAACTCAAGTTATCGCACGAAAACAGATTTTCTATTTTTAGTAACAGTGACCTTGACCTTTGACCTTCGGACCTGAAAAGCAATCCCAAGCAAGCACTTTTGGTAAGGAAGCACTGCATGAAGTTTGAGTTTGATCGGCCCAAGGAAACTAAAGTTATCGTACGAAAAACCTCTGTTCGGACGATGACGCCGCTGCCAACATAGCAATACCTATGTGTCTCCAGCTTTTCGCAGGCGACACAACAAAGGACTGAAGTTGTTTCTATAAAATCAAAGGAAAATAACTGCTCACCTGTCTGTTTCTGTCAAGATGCTTGTGGTAGGAAACCATGGATGCAAGTACAGGAAATATAAACGCATGGAAATCTGACCTGGTAAACTTTCCAAATGGAACATTTGTCAGTTTTTCAGGAAATCCCAACTGGCGGTCATTTACCTGTAAACAAAATAAACAGTATATAATTCAATACTGGATTTGAAGATTTCTTTTTTTTTCTAATCTGATTTGTGTGCGGTTGGTTGATGTATTATTATATCTGTTCACCGAACAAAACAAAAACAATCCCAACAGGGTATCCTACATAATATGTTCCAGTATCAATACAACGTACAATATTTATATATATATAAGACTTCTAAAAAGGTACTATGACATGCATCACATGATACAGGATTCTTTTGAGTAATTACCATGGCACAAAGTACATGACACAGAGTGTCTATGAGGTCTCCCTGGGTAGAGAGGATCAGAGTCTTGTTCTGAAGCAGCAGGGGAAGGTTGACCAGCACACACTCAATAACCTGCCAGTCAAGGTCCTGTAAACCAAAGAACGGTACTACAACCAGCACTCTTGTAGGTCAACCTTATAACATAATCATAACTAAATACATCCATAATAGTATAATCCTTCCTGATAATCCTATATAAATACACAAGTATAGTATAATCCTTCCTGATAATCCTATATAAATAAACAAGTATAGTATAATCCTTCCAGATAATACGATATAAATACACAAGTATAGTATAATCCTTCCTGATAATCCGATATAAATACACAAGTATAGAATAATCCTTCCTGATAATCCTATATAAATTCGCAAGTATAGTATAATCCTTCCAGATAATCCGCTATAAATACACAAGTATAGTATAATCCGATATAAATACACAAGTATAGAATAATCCTTCCTGATAATCCTATATAAATACACAAGTAGAGTATAATCCTTCCAGATAATCCGATATAAATACACATGTTTAGTATAATCCTTCCAGATAATCCTATATAAAAACACAAGTATAGTATAATCCGATATAAATACGCAAGTATAGTATAATCCAATATAAATACACAAGTATAGTATAATCCTTCCTGATAATCCTATATAAATTCGCAAGTATAGTATAATCCTTCCAGATAATCCTATATAAAAACACAAGTATAGTATAATCCGATATAAATACACAAGTATAGAATAATCCTTCCTGATAATCCTATATAAATAAACAAGTATAGTATAATCCTTCCAGATAATCCGCTATAAATACACAAGTATAGTATAATCCGATATAAATACACAAGTATAGAATAATCCTTCCTGATAATCCTATATAAATTCGCAAGTATAGTATAATCCTTCCAGATAATCCTTTATAAATACACAAGTATAGTATAATCCTTTCAGATAATCCGATATAAATACACAAGTATAGAATAATCCTTCCTGATAATCCTATATAAATACACAAGTATAGTATAATCCTTCCAGATAATACGATATAAATACACAAGTATAGTATAATCCGATATAAATACACAAGTATAGTATAATCCAATATAAATACACAAGTATAGTATAATCCTACATAAATTTAAATATAATCCTACATTTTATCAATTATAAAATAATTCTGCAAAAATGCACCAATTTTAGTATGATCCTACATAAATACACAGCAGTAAATTATAGATTTGTTAATACAGCTGAAGAAATGACAAATGTTATGTTCCAGACCTATATAATAAAACCCTAAACCCTTACGTGCTGTAGACAAGTGATGAAGAGGCTGAAGGCTTCAGTGTAGTTCAGTAGAGTGGCACTTGTCCACAGGAACTTAGAGGACTCCTTGGGGACAGGGTTTGGGCTGGAGGGGACTGTCACAGCATCCTCGTCACACCTATGGGGAGTAGAGAATCACAGTGCTCAGGGTGTCATAACTTTATAGTTCTTTCTTGTACTTCTGACAAGAATTTTTTATCAAACACCCAGCGCTAGAGGTCTTGTTATAATGAACAATAAACTTGTAAAATATCCTTTCCTGTCATCACACTTGACAAATGAATGTACTTACTTCACTTCACAAACAATATATGGACTGAACTTGGGTTGTGTGTCCTGATCAAGGTTGATGAAGCCCAACCTGCTCAAACTATCAGAACGCATTTGGAGCAGTGCCGTCATGATCTGTGAAGGAGGCATGTACATGTTTAATGTTTAACAGAAAAAGGTTTTATCATTTATAACCACATTTATATACCTGCAGGCCTATAACTCTCACCTGTGAAATATTCAACTTATCAATACAATTTTCAGTTTTTCAAAATATATTTTTTTTTCATTAATTTCAGTAATCGTAATCAAATATCAAGACCTTCCTAGAGCAAAGTGAAATTACACATAGAAAAGAGTGGTTAACATTTTGAAAATAATGGTACTAATTATTTTGATTTACATGCAATTGTTTTCGGCCAACTTTGTTATTACCGGTAGTATTTTCTAACATGCCAATGATCGCAAAATATAATTAAATAATACATTTTTTTCAAAAATCTAATCAGATATGAGCGTACTTCGCTAACATTTTACAGAATTAGTATCAGATGTAGTACTCACACTTTTCCTGATGACTGCTGCAGTTTGACTACTGTAGTCCTGACTGCTGGAGTACTGTGTCCTCAGGTGGCCCAGAGTCAGCTGATAGATCTCCTGACACTCACTCGAGGGGTACATGTACAGCTTAATCTAGAAATACATTTCTAAACCTCATCAAATCAATGTTGTTAGGTATACACAGGACACATTTGTAAAAATTGGTAAAACTGAAGAAGACATATATTAACTTCCTGACATTTATACTTATGTGGTATTCAACTAAGCAGCTAGTAAAACCCAATTAGAATTACTGATGAAATTCATGACAATTCTCCTGGACCACTTTAATTTATTGGGTGGCCAACAGTTGGCCAACAGTTGTTCATTTGGAAAATGGGACAAATCTGCAGGTTGAAATTTTCTGGTGAGGCCATCAAGGCTTGCATTAATCCAGACTGGTATAACACGGTATAACACGGTTCATTAATCCAGACCGGTATAACACGTTTTTTTTAATCCAGACCAGTATAACACGGTTTATTNATTAATCCAGAACGGTATAACACGGTTCATTAATCCAGACTGGTATAACACGGTTCATTAATCCAGACTGGTATAACACGGTATAACACGGTTCATTAATCCAGACTGGTATAACACGGTTCATTAATCCAGACTGGTATAACACGGTTCATTAATCCAGACCAGTAAAACACGGTTTATTAATCCAGACCAGTACAACACGGTATAACACAGTATAACACGGTTCATTAATCCAGACTGGTATAACACGGTTCATTAATCCAGACCGGTATAACATGGTATAACACGGTATAACACGGTTCATTAATCCAGATCGGTATAACACGGTTCATTAATCCAGACCGGTATAACACGGTATAACACGGTATAACACAGTTCATTAATCCAGACCGGTATAACACGGTATAACACGGTATAACACGGTATAACACGGTTCATTAATCCAGACTGGTATAACACTGTTCATTAATCCAGACCGGTATAACATGGTTCATTAATCCAGACCGGTATAACACGGTATAACACGGTTCATTAATCCAGACCGGTATAACATGGTTCATTAATCCAGACCGGTATAACACGGTATAACACGGTTCATTAATCCAGACTGGTATAACACGGTTCATTAATCCAGACCGGTATAACACGGTATAACACGGTATAACACGGTATAACACGGTTCATTAACCAGACTGGTATAACACGGTTTATTAATCCAGACCGGTATAACACAGTTTATTAATCCAGACCGGTATAACACGGTATAACACAGTATAACACTGTTCATTAATCCAGACTGGTATAACACGGTATAACACGGTTCGGTAGGTGCAGCATCACATATCAAATTGCCAATTATTATGATTTTCAAAGATTTTGTGATTATTTCCTATCAAAGTACAGGTGAATATCCTGTTAACAAGTATATAAGGTCAACCTATTGTTTAACAGCCAGCTAGATGTAACCTATTGTTTGACGGTCATCGAGGTGTAAAAAATACCCCGTAAGGCTGCGGCGTTGTTTACATAACGCGTTCAGGTGTAACAGAAGGTCCCCCGAGGCAATTATCATGAATCATTACCGCCATTTACCTGTATTTTTTTGTGACAATGGCCAAAATAAAGTGATATTAAGAGAAATCGACATAAAATCAGGTGCTAATAAAAAAATTGAATTGCATAGATTATATAGCAGGTAAAACAGTGCATCAAAAAAACATGATAATAACCGAACAGTGACATTAACCGACGTGATATTAGGTGAAATGTACTGTACTATTTTTGAAAACATCTTTGATGAAACATACCATAATTTGATCTGAATATTTCTCTGTCTGTTATCTGAATTCTCTTCTCTAAAAAGTGTTTCAAAATTGACGTTTTATGATAATATGTACATTAATACCATGTGTGTTATATATATGGTGTGTTAAACAGTTTTTATGTCCACCATAAAATGAAGTCATTACACTGAAAAGTAAAATATATTCAGAGAGTGAAATTGTCACTTAAGACTTTAAGCATCTCATCAGTTAAATCATTTTGGAATATATCCTTGGCAATGTAACTACAACTCGACAATAAAACTGACTCTGTTCAGAGTTTGTGCACAAGAGAGCAGCCTTACTCGGAGGAGGTCCACCAGCCCCATAGCCCCAGTTTTTATGTCCACCAGGTGGCTTTCATCATGATGTTGTATGGCCTCTGCTCCTTCCGTTGATGGGTACCGGGTTGTCACCATGGCTACCAATGGCTTGTCAATCAGCTAAAACACACAATGTATCATATCTAACTGTCAGACAACAGGAATTACTTGTGATGTATATCTCTGACCTTCGACATAAAGAAATATGGAGTAAAATATCAAGTCAATTGATTGAGCAAGAAAAAAAGAATTCTTTCTGTATAGAAAAACACACCTTTTCTAAAAGAACTATGATGTGTAGAAAACACTGGTGGCTACAGCTCTGGGCCAGACACAGCAGCATTTCCGCGGCGACCTTCCTCACCTCAGGGTCACTGTCCTGGTCTATCTGACCAAGGTGTGGTAGCACGATATTAGTGATCAGTTCGTCCTGTAATGTCAAGGTCAACAAATCTAAATTAAATTATAAAGGTCAGATAAACACAACAATGCCTTTCAAAACTACAATGTCAAGTTCAACTCGTAAACATTTTTTAAATCTACAAGGTAATAGTCTGATATTAAACAGTGCATAAAGATTCTCAAAATAAAAGCTTAAGCAAACACATCAAAAATTCTCCAAAACATCATCAATGTTTCAAGAAATCCACAAATAACTTTTAACACATGAAGGATTCCACAAATAGTACATCAAGGATTCAACAAATAATACATCAAGATTTTTCCAAAAAACACTATCATGGTCATTAATACCAATAAAAAATGAAAAAAACTCCAGATCAACACTGATTGTTAACCTGTTCAAGTCACCAAGTCTCAAAACAACGTCAAATAGAAACATATCTTGGGTTTCTTGACTTGTAGTTTATTAATTTTTATGGGAGTTTGACATCTTGGTCACGGCAAATACCTTAATTAATTGAGACTTGAAAAATGATTTCCATGCAAAAGTCAAGTTTCACCTACCTCGTGCATGTGTTTGTTGACACTAAGTACAAAAGACAGGACAGCCAGAGCCTTCGTCCTTATCATTGTGCGACTCTCCTGTCTGCAAAATTAAACATTATTGTTAATGAAAACATAGTAAATATCACTTTACAAGGAACATGATTTAATTATAAAGAAATTTTGAAATTTGATCATTGTTAGACAATGTTATGCAGAGTAATGGAGTTATTACAATCTAATCATAATAAACATGTGAAATATGGTTATAATCCCACACTATAAAATTGTAACATACACTTTAGAATCTCACCTGAAATATTTGTCTAACAGAGAGTAAAGATTCTCAATCCAATTCTCCTTCACTGGTAAAATCATCTGAGCATGATGGGTAATCAGCATGGATACAGAACTCTCCTGTCAAAAAAAATAAAAAGGTTTGCAACAGGGTGTGCTCTGTGCACTATGACAGATGTCATTGTGTTGCCCAGTCTGTGGCATCTTACATGTAGGCATGAATGTTTGATCAAATACATTTGGCATTGATTTTACGAAACTTTACATCCTGGCATTTTATATTTTCCTCCACTTACCCTTCAGTCCTCATCTAGGCCGTTTTCGTCCAGATAATACGATATAAATACACACAGTTGTTTGTTTATTAAATAAGGTCGGACCTAGTAGTCTGATGCTGCTTTCAGGCATGCCTTGACAAAGCCTTGCAAGGCCTGCATAAACATTTGCAGGTCTGCCAGCATTTATACCCAAAATTGTTACATTTATAAACGGTCAAACCGGTTGTTCCGCATAAACAAACAGGCCCCTAGATTCCAGCCTGAACACATCACACTATTCTTGGTGCCTGTGTCAAGGAGTCCCTGATAAGTCAATAAGTATTTTATCCTTATATATAAGCTGTATGGTATTCATTTTCTTCGTAAATAAAGATATAGTAACCATCTGTATGCAAAACTGAAAGTATATGTGATAACTGAAATGAATGATCCATATTATGTATTTTGTAGAAGGTCATTCAGATGTTAAAAGTGTCTTTGGGGTTTTACATAATACTACAAAAGGTTACACTTGCTGCGCTTATTTATATGTATTGAAAAGTACAATGTGAATTCAGGAATAAATTTAAGAAGACTTAAATTAATTGACTGTACAAAACAAAAATATCAAACTGCATTACTATTTCTGCTTGTACATGTAGGAGAACATAAACAGAAAATCAGCTATAACATGAATTTCATTTTCACAGACTCAAACCAAATTTCCTGATTAACTGACAGTTAAATGTTTTACCAGTAAAGTTCCAGTGTAACTTATGCAAGGACTTACCGGTCTTTTTGAAGCACACAGCTCAATGATTTTGAAGAACCGGGACACACATCCAGCAAACTGGCCATGCATATGGAGGTCCTCTATGATGGAGAGAATGTCATGGAAATCAACAGGCATTCGGGGGTCCAGTGGAGGCTGGTTTGGCACAGTGACCTATCATAACACAAAATGTACTTAGGGATGCCGACTCATCATTTTCAAAGTATCTTCCTAAGTATATTGGTCCCAATATAATCAAATATAAACAACTAATCCCACCATCATAAGAGCTTCCTTACATGTACGTCAATTTGATTGATGTGTTTTCTCTATTATGTTTTGGATTGATAAAAATATCAACAGTAAATGCATCTTAAGATATTTTTTGATGAAAACTTCATACAGCTGCTTTTGACATTGTCCTTTCAGAGTGAGGTTGCTGTTTGTCCTATAAACTAGAATAGTACAAGTAATATGTAAGAAAAGAACAGGTGATATTTCTGATTCTTGCAGCAACATTTCACTTCTGATTTACTAGCCTGGAGCTCAAAATAAAACATGTAGATCTAGGAATAAAGAGGAAGCTAATAAGAAAAATATGAGAAAGATCTTCACTTGACTTTGTGAAAAATATGAATAAAAAAATTCAAAGGCCAAAATAAAAGACTTCTGACTGAAGGCCACTTTTTTATTTTATCTGATTGAGCGAAAATGAATCTGACACAACTTAGAAGACTAGATAGTAGCTTTGAGAAAGACCCTTCCAGCACTTTCTGTGAAATAGCAAAAACAATCATTAACTGTATAAATCCAAGTCGGCCACCCAGCAACATTTTGTTCTTTCCATCAATTGCAATTAAATATGCACATTACTATTTGAACTATTAAGAGGAACTTTTTTTGTGAAATTTGAGAAAGTTCCCTCAAGGAGAAATAGCAAACTTGAAATGTAAAAATCCAAGATGGCTGCCTGATATTAAAACTGGAATTATGATGGAAGCAGTCAAAACGTATTGATATATCTCGGACAATTCATCAGCATTTGACCACCAATTGTCTGACAAAGACACTGGGTTCTGGCTGACAAAGACACTGGGTTCTGGCCGACAAAAACGCCGGGTTCTGGCTGACAAAGACACAGGGTTCTGGCTGACAAAGACACAGGGTTCTGGCCGGCACAGCAATGTAATTACCTCCATGAGTCTGAGCAGCCCTTCCAGGATATCCATGATGATGTTCCAGGTAACGTGTTGTAGATCCTTGCCGTACTTGTTCACTAGACGATGTATAGACAGCACCACCTCATAGGCGACTATGTGACTGTTGGTGGACAGTACCTGACAAATAAACGCTCAACTGTTTTATAGACTTATATTATAAAGTGTTACACTCTATCTCCTATGCTGCATTGATTTTGAATAATGTAAAACAATATGCCAGGATCATTTCAACTTTTCAGGAATGAGTATGGTTTTCAATTCTTACAAAAAGCATTCCATGTGAATTTCCCCATAGGATATCAAAAATACCGGTAATTTCCCATTAAATATTACCTGGAGGAAGGAAGGTAGTACGGAGGAGAAGGTGTGTTTAAGTGTGGGCACCTTCTTTGAGCCCCAGAGAGCCATCCCCACAAAGAACACAGAACCCCGCAATAAGTTATGGTCTGTAGGTTGTCTTCTGGAAGAGTTAAATAAAAACAAAATTACAAACCGATTCTGACACTGAAAAATACTCTTAGACAATTAATTCATAATTGACATGTCAATTATCACCATTACACACTAAAGCAGCTAATTAGCATATTATCATAACAAAGAAATGTGAATAATAATCCAACTGTGGAGTCATAAGGAACAATATGTGATTATGTAGTTAATTGTAGTTAATTTAAGGCCAAGATTAAAATGGTGATATTTTCCCTTGCTTTTCTTGTCAAAATGTCATTTAGATGATGTGTTGGGACACATGACAGAAGAACCTTTAATTTGTTTCCTTTTTGTATATGTAAAATTCCCTGAAACTTGTTTCATAAACCTCATATGGAATTGGAACCTGTTTGAGGTTATTCAGGTTCTCAGTCTGAATACTATACTTGAGATTTTCAGTCCATATACTGGTATTGTGTACCATCAGAAGTCTATACCAAGGTATCTTTCTGAGATTATCAGTTTGTGTATTTTTGGGATGTCAGTCTGTAAATTTTTGATATTGTCAGCCTGTATAATTTTTCCTATATTGCCATCTCTATATTAAATTTAAAGTATTACCCATTAGGTTGAATAAAGTATGTTACCTGTCCTGGAGCATACAACACATGGTGTAGATACTGCTGTGACCAAGATGTGTTCCCAACAACTTCTTCATCAACTGTGAGGAATATATTGTCATTTATAAATACATGTCATTTATTACAAGAAAAAGGCCCATAGCATCAACCATATTATTTTGTATCATTGGCAGGTTTTTTTTATCAACTAAGAACTAAATACATACTAGTACAATGTGGTATAATTTTACTTTATTAAATCTCAGGATGTTCCTCCTTTTTAATAGCCTCGTCTGCACACACCTATCCTAGGAATGGAATATTATAACAAAACTATCTTTAGATTTCTAATGACCAATACTGAACAACAGCTCTGTTAGACTGGGTAAGTAGACCTGGTTTTGTAGCTTCAATGCTACTGTTACTTCAGACTAAGATAAAGCGCACAATAACTCGCTATGATGTATTTTAACCCGAGCCTTGGCTATGTGACCCATTTCACGGCCCTCAGATCACAATTTAGCAAAAACTCATAACTTTTACCCCCTACGATTGGTCATGTGACACGTTGGTTGATGGCCCTCAGATCCAGATTTGAACAAAACTTCAGAACTTTGACCCTTGACCTTGGCCATATGACCTATTTGATGTCCCTCAGATTTTCTCATTTTGTACATTTACGTACTGAACTGAGTTCAGATGGTAGGCATAAGTAGTGAGATTGACAACTCATTTCAGGAAAAGTGTTGGCATGCGTCGTGGAGTTTTTCTTATTATGAAGTTGGTATTTAATAATTCATTCTGTGTATGTTAGCTATATGATCAATGCTAAAAGCAATGTTATATCTGAAATATCTCAGAACTGAAATTTACAGTATCCTATATGGCCATTGAGTAACTAATCAAAAACAAATTTTAAGATCAATACCTCCCAACTATTTAGACAGTACTTCGGCATGTTGATCATCCGACAAAGGGCTGCAATCACATGCTGCAGACATTCGCAGGGGAGATAGCTGTAGCACACTACCGCATCCAGGATGTCCAGACACATCTGTTTACAGAAACATACATGTATTATAGTTAATAAATACATGATACCCTAGTCTTGGTAGCTTTAATATTTTAACCATGGTACTAATACTGATGAGACATATAGGCAATAAAATATTTGTTTACATCAATGTAACTCAAACTTGATAAACTAGACATCTGTAGATCTAACCTAGGACATGATACAATTGATCTCCTATGTTAAAGATGTTAAAAGTGAGGATGTATATCTTTGCTAGGTGGAAGAGCTAAAGGTATAGCCTGGTAGGTTTAGCCTGGTATTACTGATTAATATTCGACTCTTTCGTGCCAAGGGTGTTAGATAGGGAAATTTAACCCAGAGTAATTTTCTCTCATTCCAGTTACCAGAATTAGCTCAGACACCATCAAAATGTGTGGCAGTTTCTACAACGTGGCATTAGAATGTTTCTGATTTTTTGTGATGTCAAGATATTATTGTCCCATTGTGATGTCACGTTATTGTTGTCCCATTGTGATGTCACGTTATTGTTGTCCCATTGTGATGTCACGTTATTGTTGTCCCATTGTGATGTCACGTTATTGTTGTCCCATTGTGATGTCACGTTATTGTTGTCCCATTGTGATGTCACGTTATTGTTGTCCCATTGTGATGTCATGTTATTGTTGTCCCATTGTGATGTCACGTTATTGTTGTCCCATTTTGTGATGTCACCTTATTGTTGTCCCATTGTGATGTCAAGCACATGAAATCTGGTGTAAGATAGAAATTTCTTACACTCTTTTCTTACCCTGGACAGCTCTGTCTTATATGCACAGATGTTTAAGAAATATGCAGTCCTTTTTCCTTTTGTAAATGTGACAGAAATATTAACCCGATAGTAACAGCCAGACTTGAACACATATTGTATCTTTGTAAAAAAAAGTATCCAACCATATATAAGGAATAGTTACATCCAGTAATTTATGATGTATTGTATATAAAATGTCCCTACCTTGATATTCTCCTCAGATCGTGATCTGTTAGGTATCATGCAGGTTTGTCTGAAACAATGAAAAACAAGTCTAACTACATATGGATTTTGAGTTAGTTTTTTGGCATGTTCAAACTGATTATTTAGGTCAGCCAATATATCATTTAATGCCATCTTATATAAATACTGAACTGCATATGTCTAGATTAAAGAAGCATAAACCCCTGATTGGGTTCTTTTTGAAGCAGCCATTATCTTGAACTCCTATGATGTCAATAAACTTACTTGACAAGCCCACAGATGACATCTTCATCAAGGTAGGCTGCATTATATTTAACAGTTTGGACCAGTAGCTGTAGAAATGTGGACATGTTTCCTGAAGCCAGCACATCTGGCATCATACGTAGCAGCAGGGGACCTGGACATGTGAGTGGAAACAGCAAGAAAAAAGAAATTAAATTAAATAGAAAATTTAATGGTTTTTCCATTGAATACCAAATATATTTCTCTTGTTTGACAGATTATCCACATATCAGTTCTTTCTTGAAAATAAAGTGGTTGTCTGTCATATTCGTAAGATATATATTATTATTATGGTATTCAATGGTAAAACAATTAATATCCTCTATTTATGTACATTTGTACAATAAACTGTCAACAGAACAACAAGGCATTGGTAAAATATACAGATATACAGTGTACCCTATCTAACACAAAATATACATAAGGAATCACCACACTATAGTTTGACTTTGATAAAGGTAAGTTTATATAGGTAGTGTACAGGGTTCAGGTCAGACAGGGTACATCTATAAATACATAATGTTGTTTGCTTTAGCTTAAAAACATTGTGCCTGTCCTCTCATTTCAGAATGACTACTAGACTTTGAAATCTTATTTTCTAAATATGAAATATTACGTCTTCTATTCTAAATCATCTTATGCTATACGTACCTGCCAATTCTTCAAACTCTCCTAAATTCCGGCCATTCTCACTCAGAGCCTTGAATAACTCTAACCTGCAAAATGAATTGCTATTACTTCAGGTTCCTTCATTACTTACAAAATTTTTGCAATTAATCCTCATTAACACCAGCTGTTTTATGCTGGCAATTTCAATGGTTTATTGATTTTGAAAATGTTAAATCCTTCAGAAATATCCCATATTTTCTTGCAAAACCTTTAGCTTTTCTCATTACTGGTTATATTTCCAACATGTAGGCCAACTTTTCTTTAATTTTTGCTTCCATCCTTACATGTATTGGCAGTATCTATTTGTATATCTCTTGATCCCTACAGACTAAGAATGCTACCACTATAATTTGGTTGAAATCTGACTGGTAGCTTGGAAGTAGATGCAAGTTAAAGCAAATCAAATAATTTGACCAATTTTATCCAACACTTAACCTCCGACAGCCAATATGGCCCCTTTTTACCCCCCCCTCTCAGCCCCAGGAAGGTCAGCCCCTTAATTGGTATACATTTTGATCTCCAAGGCCCAACAATGCTACCAACAAAACTTGGTTGAGTTCTGCAGAGTAGTTTTTAAGAAGATGATGTTTAAAGCAAAAATTGACAAACAACATTTAACACAACCACATAAGCTCATGGTGGTACATGTGTATGTACTATGTACCAGGCGAGGTAATATTTGTATTTATAATGTCTCTACAACAATTGTGTTGAATTTTATATATACAGTATGTTACAGAACCATATTTGTTTAATGGATCACAAAAGTTCTGTACTAAGTGCCTGATGAGATAAGCCTTACCTTTGTGAGAGATCCTCATGGTTAGACAGGTCTTCTATCACACTGAAGAAGTGAGCCCTCAGTATACCCAGGTACTGCAACTGTCACACAACATAACACATTCAAGTTGCAGTAATAAATACAACATACATATAGTGGAACAACTGGTATATTTTCTAACATCAACTTCAATTCTTCTTTTATTTCCGTTAATTAACGTCTTTGGAAGAGTAGTGAGTAAGAGCATCTATACTCTACACCCAGGACAATTTGTAAGATCTCAACGAGTTTCCAAATTATATTTTACTGATAAAACTGTCTTAAAAGACGTTATCTCTGCAAATTTCTGATGAGCTAAAAAGAAAATGTCTTTCCTGGTATTTTCTAACCTCTAAGGACATACACAGTACCATTGGTCAAGGATGCAGTCAGTGTAAATTCTGCCTTTGGCAAACAGAGAGGGATTAGTTTCTACTTTACATATTAGTTACATTATATCCTACTGTATCTCTATTTAGTTCTAATGTAAGTATTCCACATTTTTCTGTGTTTTGATAAAGGAGCTGATCACTCTGATAACTTGACAACCTCCCATTGTCTACACTGTTGGAACTTCCTTGCGCCATATGTCAATTTCAAGTAATTCATATACATTTGTACGGATCCTGTGTTATACTTGTATGGGATTTTATCATCAATATTACTTCTTTGACCCATATATTATGTAAATTATATAAACATGTATATACTGAAGATATTCCATTGTCACAAGTCTTTTACAGTCCATCTTTACCTGTCCTTCTATGAGTGAGTGTAGGAAATGGAGAGCTATCTGTCGACTCTCCGATGGTGTCCCAGGCTGCACCAGATCCTTGATACTGTTCCATAGAGCTTCAATTGCATTCTGAGGAAATAGATGCAAATGCTTGTCAATGCACAAAATATACTTGATTTACAAGAAAAAGAAAATGATGAAATTTAAATTACAATTAAAAGCATTGACTCACACAATCCCTTATGATGATGAGTTATCAGAATGACAATCATCTTTCATTTGTTTGAGACAATTCAAAGTTAAATCACAGAATTTCAATGACTGTCGGTGCAGAATGGTTGGAGAACATTCTTTTACCATCATGTATGGGTACAAGTTAATCGCCTTCTACTTAACAGTTATGATTATTCAACCTCAAAATAACATTACGGAGGGCTAAAAGGTGAAAGTAAATTGCAGCAAAAATTTCCTGCCATACAGAAATGAGAAATCTTAATATAAACTGGACCACATAACAGGAAATCTTCATAAACAGTGGAATCTCAATAGATAAAAATCTTAATATACCCTGGAACCTCATGAATTATGAAGATTGATAATGAAAAACACTTTTTTTTCTGTAAACCATTTTGTCCTGACAAACAAGGTTCCATCTTAAGGTCTGTCCATAACTGTTATATTACCTCCTCTAACTTTTTAGTTTGAACAGTGTTACACAATTCTCTGATGGTTCGAAGTCTGTTGTTGGCTGGACTTTCAGGACCAATGTCCTACAAAGAAAAATAAGTTAGTTCCATTATAGAAGAGTATCCATATGAATGTGCAGTGATTTTAGTCTCAACATGCCTAATAAAAAGAGAACAATGTTGTGCATTATGTGTATGCTTCTTTATTTCTTCTTCTTCTTTATGGTGCAGGGGCTCCATCAATAGTGATGATTATACCCTCGGGGTCCTATTGCAGAGGCTTGAAAAAAAGGGGTTATTTACAGTGATTAGTTTGGTTTTATTTGTGTGCAAGGTACAGATAAAAGATAAAAGCTGGCCTATATTTTATCCTGTGATGAGGGCTTCAAGGGCTGCATAGGGTATGTGTGCCTTGAAGTTCTCTAGTGCTGTGCATTGTACTGCTGCTATGGGAAGGAGATTTCATTCTGTTATTGTGTGTGGAAAGAATGAATATTTGTAGGTGTCCTTTGTAGCAGATATGTTTGTATGCGTGTGGGTGTGCATGTCTGGTTCGAGGGACTACAGGTGTGAGTATATATGTTGGGTTTATAGCTACGATTTGGTGTACAATTTTGTAAAAAAAAAGGATCATTCTTGTTTGACAGCGCCGTGCTTGTAGTGTTGGCCATTGCAGTTTGTGAATCATGTCTGTTACTGAGCTAGTGTTGTGGTATCTGTTATTTACGTAGCGTGCTGCTCTTTGTTATGTTTTTTCTATTTGTTTAATTTGGTTTGACTCAAAGGTTCTATTTCTAAAAACTGTACCTACTGGTGAACAACTGGTTGTTGAACCTGTATTTCCTGTCAGAACAGGACAAATTTCAGTCTTTTCCGTCCACATTTACCTATCTTACACTTTGACCAAGTTGGCTTACTACTCAGATTAACCTTTACCTTTTGTGCAGAAAACTTGTATCTCAGAAACCATTATATATATTCCAGAGAATTGGTTAGACCTAGTCGTCCATTATATACGGTATATCTCACTTTAACCAAAACATTGAATTTGTATTTCTGACTGTTTCACAGCATTTATCAAACCGTGGTAAAAAATATACTTTTTTTCAAGGATGTATGTTAGGCCTAAAGCCGCTAAAAGTGTGACATTTCTAAAAGAAAATATATCCCCACCTATCACTTACCTAAGAATGATGCCCTTTTTGGTTTTTGATGTTTTAAATGAACTTGTTAATTTTTTATTTCACTTTATTCCCCTTTCAGGATTTTTTTTATCCTTAACCATGAACTGTTCCCGAAATGAATGCGTATTACCAATATGAGGGTGTTGTGCCCAACCTGTTTATAACTGATCCGAATAAGCCAAATCAGAGGACTGACCATTACTTAAGAGTCTTTCAACAAGTGATATAGTTTGCTGCTAAATGAGGAATGATGATTTAAACACACATTAGTCTCTGTCTTTATAGCATTCCCTTATTTCCTGAGTTGAAGGCAACCATCGATTGTGCAGTATGTGTTATGATACTGCACTAGAGACCGCAGATATAATAACCTACAAATATGTCCGTTTGCTCGATTATCTGATACCTTTAACACATCAGGAGTGAAAATGAACTCTCTAACAGTCGGTCTCTGGAAAGCAACTGGGGCAGATTTGTCTTTGATGCGGAATAGACTTTTCAATCTGTCTTTAAGGTTCTCCTCTTGCTTTCCTTGTCGAGACATTACAACCCCATGACAGTCGCCGCTTCCATCAATGTAAACTTCTATGTCGCTGATATCGAAAACAGTATTAGAGTTATCTCCCCATGCACCACTGCTTTTGCTTCACCCGGCATTACTGACGTCGGTACCGATACTTTTTTTGTATGAATTGGCAAACAAATACATAATCCGACTAGTACATCTCTCCAACGACTAAAATTTGCCCAAAAATTTAATCCCTAAAATGGTCATTTCACATTAAATATGCATGTTTTTTAAAACTCCATACAAGCAGAGACGTATATAACACATGTCTGATACAAGGTATTTTTGTCGACTATATATTTGATCATTATATGATACAAAGCATATATCAAATTATGGTCTAATTGCATGATTGTAACATAATAAGATTGTCTGTATTGTACATTGCTACACAATAATTAACGATCCATGATCAAATTAATATTTTATTTGTATTGTGTTCGAATTTAATATTTTCTTCAATTCTCTTTACAGTACAACAAACAGTTGCATTTAATAAGCAGTTATTACTTGGATTAATGCAAATATATAATATTTCTATCTGTATTTCGGACCTAAATCTGAATAAAATGAACATTTGGGTAAAATGTGAAATTCGTTTTCAATTACTGCTAGCTCATAACATTTAGAATGCTTTTTATCATTTGCAGCAGGAAAAACTTGGGCAACCTGTTAATTGTTGATAATACGTACATAAATGATTTTCAGTAGGAATGGGAAGTGCTGGTGATTTTTTTTTAAATACTGTAGTGACATTAGTGATTACCTTAATTTAAAATTTATTTTATTGTCGGTATAACATTCCAGTAATACAAATATGAGATACATACAGGATGTTTATCCGTCTCCTGTGAAATTGTGTTTTAGTGATAGCGACCTTGACGGACAGCCCTGGGCCCGTGGTTGTTAAAGACCCGACTTGTTTGGGGTGGGGTGGGTTAATGGGTTATATTTAGATGGGGCCTGATATATAAGTCTGATTGAGAGAGAAAATAGAATAACTTGACTTTCCATTCTTTTGCAGACAAATAAGGGTTTGTGTTGTTTTTCTATGAGTAAAATATTAGGTTACCAATGTAGCATGTAATTGTTTACAGAAGATTTATTCACAATACAAATGTTATAGAGAAGTTCCAACCAGAGTACCGCATGGATACATTACACGACCGTTCTAGCCTATTTTGTGGAAGCCAGAGTGAATAGAAACTTGTCAAACTCGTAAAATAGCTACAGCGTAATGGGGAAATCTCAACTGCACATTTGCACATGACCGTACATGTAGTGGAATTTGCCAGGTCTAAAAGTAACTTTAATTGATTCATTTTTTCTAAACCCCTAATCTGTAAGCCAAAATCAAAATACGACTTTTTACAGCCGTATATGCGCATTCTTAAATAACCAGATACCAATAACAATAACATGAATAACCACGTTAATGATTATCGGACAAAAACGTCCAATATGTACGCGTCTTGGAGTGCTGACGATAATAGTAAATTTTCAAGGAAATTGGATGGTTCTGGATCAGTTCATTACCGAAGTCAGAGTTTTTATGTACGTCCTAGTCTACCTCGTCTGTCAATATAAATATCTCAACGGTACGAAGTCTTTTACATACTCAGTTCGATATGCTTGCTTGAAATGACTGATGTTTACTATTGATACTGTTTCACGCAAGTACACTTTAGAAGTTGTGCGATTCTATATTTATGGTCAATTGAGTGACCCGGATGTTAGTCCTATATAATGTACAATATATACCTTAAATATCGCCAGGAAGGTGTTTTTTATTTAAACATATTTTATTGTCTTTTTTTATATAGCAATGGAATTGGGCACAAGTTGTACAACTTCTATCAAGCCCTTTTCTCTGTACAATAATATATTCAACAAAATTTCATGATGGCAGAAATACGACAATAAGCTATGTATGATAAATTAATTGATAAGTTGACATACATACACCCACACATTCACACACCCAACCACACACATGCGCACAAATATAAACATGCAGATGTAGAGAAAGGAACAGGGGGTGAGAGGGGGAGGAGAGAGAGAGGGAAGAAGGGGTTAGAGAGTACAATTCTTTTTAGATTACTGGATAAGTTCTGCAACAATACAGTACAAGGACTTAAGTGCATCTCCTTGCCTAACAACCAATATTTCCTTACAATACTAGTCTATACGACTTGGCGTATTCAAAGCATGAAATTTCTGACTTTTGGTCAGCCTAGGATGCCATACGCACCTCTGACTACTATAAACACTCTACTGATCCTGTTTAATCTACATACCGTCATGTTATTAGTATTGCAAGGAATTGGTGTTAGGCAAGGAGAACAACAAGAAAATGTGTTTTTTAAGTAAAAAGGCATTGTGGGAAAAATATGAAACTTTCACAAATTAAATATCATCATATAGCTTATATATATGCCAAGTTGCATGCTTATTCCAAAATGCCTTTTATGTACAGTCAGCCCTTTTAAGTTGAAATAGGCAGAACAATTGATAAAGCAATGAAATGGGTTAACTGTAACTATTAAAACAGACACTTCCCTTGAGGCTAGGAGACTTAAAATTACCAGCAAATCAAACTTCATATAATAAATTTATAATTTTACAGTAGTTGTGGTGGTAAATGCCGATTTTTATTTGTAAGGTAACTATGATAAGTAAGAAAACAAATATGGACCTGGAACTAGTATCAGCCGCAGGTGTTGAGCAAATATTATATGATATATATAATATACATTATCAACTATTAATATATCATACTTATAGCATATAAAGGGTGTCGTGCATCTTTTGATTCACTTCAAATTGAAATATATTTGAAATAACAAAGTTTGAGATGTGTCCAGAAGCCATAACTCAGAATAAACAAAAGGAACGTGTTTAATGAGTATGCATTTTATGTAGGTGTATTGAGAAGACACTTTTCATTTGAAAATTACTTAAAACAACCCACTGACTTAATCCTCCGTTTTATTTAACAATCTTTAAGTGACGATTGAATTTCTGAAATTTTTCATACTTTAGTATATGCTTGTTTAATTTACACATGTTTTTAAAACCAGAAATGGTATTATTTTGGTTTTTAAGCTCATTTTGAAAACAGCAAATTATTTTTGTGATTTACCCTACCCCTTTTGGTACCCCCAAAACTCACTTTCGGTTAAACTTTTACCTTAGTTTTTCCGCATGTAATACAAAAGGGCATCTTTGAACAAATTAAAGAGGTGAAATCCAAAAATACCGGGGCCCAAATAGGGCCTTATAGACACTCATCCTTTAAGAAAATACATATCAGACCACGTGGTTGTTCCTACTATTCGCTGTTCACAACTTTCTTCTAATCAAATGTTCATCACATCCCGTGCAATTATATCTTCCTCCTATTCATTCCGCTCTTGCTGGTATTTCCGTTTCAACTATCCCGTTCGCACACAGAAAGACCAAACACACGGCTTCATTATATTTATGTATACTTATATTTGTATGTTGCAACTCTTGTTGTCAATCTATTCGATTTTGAGGGGTGGGGGTATTAAAATCTGTTCGAGTCATGTATAAATTGCTGAGTATGCATGAATATAATTTTGTTTTCTTGTTTCGAAATTGTTATATCTCCAAAAAGAAGTAGATTCAATGTAAGGGGGATATGTATTCATTCAGTTCACGATAAAGTACAATTATCTGTTCAACATAATTATCACAGTTAAAAAAAGGAAACGGAACATACAGCGTTGGTCATCAACCAGGTTAACTCGAAATAGATCGGATAGATAGTGCTAGAACGGTTTCTTTGTTTCGTATGTAAGATGATATTTTTTCTATCGCCGTAGAAAAAGTAAATGAGAACATGGGGCAAATGTTTGTCTCTAACGGTATTTTTAAATGATAAAAAAGAGGGGCTATGCCTAATACTTAAAGTTAACTGATTCAAGAGTCTAATAGTAGAAGGAAAGTAGTACATGTTAGATAACTCTAGTCTGTTGTTAGGCAGGTTGTAGTTTTCGGCGTTTCTAAGATTGTATTGAGAATTTTCGACAAGGGGAGGGAGTAGAGTGTTTAGATAGTTAGGAGTAATATTATGATGAATTTAAAAAAAAAAAAAAATGCAGTTTTCGACGGGATCTCCAGCGGGCTAGGGATTCCCATCCCGTTTCAATATATATAGATTGTCTACTGGCATAAGAAGGTAAACCGGTGACAATACGTCCTGCCTCTAATTGTAACTTTTCTAACTTATCTGTATCAGTAAGAGTACAACCATCCCAAAGTTCACGGCAATATTCTAAAATAGGAAGTATAAACGATCTATATATCTTATTTAATGTACGGCGGTTTAGAGTATATTTCAATTGTTCTAATACTTGTACGAATTTATCTGAACATAATAGAGAAGTATCATATGCAAAAAGTGTTCGTAAGCTTTTTAAATTATCTGTTATATCATTAATATAAAGCATGAACAACAACGGACCTAAGACTGAACCCTGAGGTACTGCTGCATTAGTTGTCTTAACAGAGGATTTACTGTTTCCAAAATATACTTGTTGATACCTATTTGTAACATAATTAATTAACCATTCCAATAACTTACCCGATATTCCATAACTAGCTATTTTCACCTCCAGCCCCCTATGCCACACTCGATCGAATGCCTTAGAAATATCACAAAAGACTAAACAGGTGGGTGGTTTTTTTTTCAAGATTGTTTCACACGTTGTGGTATATTTCTATAAGCTAGTGTATGGTAGACTGACCAGGCTGAAAACCTGACTGATACTTATATATAAGAGAATAATCTAAAAGGTAGTTATGTAAATGTTTAGCAACTTATCTTTCAAAAACCTTACCAATAGTACTTAGCAATGAAATAGGTCTATAATTTGAGGGGTCTGGTTTATTAAAGATAGCGGTAAGCAACTGTATTAGCGGTGTTCTTTAACATGTTATGACTAATTGTATCATTTCCTACAGCTTTACCAAGATTAGAGTTTTAAGTATGTCAATAATGTCATTAATCTTAAAGGGTATGTCTGAGATAGTCGAGTCTGTTCTGGATTCTCTAACAGCCAGTTGTGTCTATCATCAACGTTTAACCTCTCAATATCATCGTATATATCAAATCATATATTTATCTCAGTCACAAACACTAACGAATGTGATAACTCTAACAAAAATTCAAACATTCCGCCAACTTCTTTGTCTAATGTTTTAATTATTCCCATACAATACATCGCCTCCCGTCAAGGTTGGCCATAAATATATGGCCATTTCAGGATTTATGTTTTTTCTTTCCGCACGCATTATATCATCATGTGTTCATATAATTTCTCTTCAAACAAATAACAATATTTTAGACGCTCACCTAGGTTGTGGAGCAAGGGATATATTGGTGTCCATTCGACCGCCCTTCCGCTCTCACTCAGGTACAAATTGCGTTGAGTTTTCCACTTCTGACTTGCTCCCAACAACACGTTCGTCCATCCGTCCGTACAACTGCCTGTCGCTCTGGTTGACACGTTTTTGGTTCGAAATCTCCTCATCGTTTACGGAGAATTTTAAAACTAAGTTAAATTCACTAAAGGGAGTAAGTGGTAGAATATGGGGGCCCCATTGATTAATACAAATAGCCATGTTACAAACTGGACTTCTAGGTATTTACTTTATTCATGTCATATTTATGATAGAACTTACTTGAAATATTTCCTAATTTGGAAAAAAAAATAAAAAAAATTGAAGCCTAACATTAATAGATATAGCTAGGCCTAAATAAAACTGGAATAACGTGAGAGTTTTCTCTCTCTCAAAAGCCCCCCGCCCCTTGCAGATACAAATCATTGGTTGACTGTGATCTGGATATTCCATATAATATCAATCAAATCAGAGACGTATTATACGTCTCAGATCAAATGCAATAGAATATAATTATTATCTATTTAAGCATGAGTCATCTAATATATATATTTTTGTGTTGCCTTAAATATATCGAAATATTTTGTATTTATTAGTCATTTTCGATCAGCAATCTTTACATATATTGGGGTATATACTGTCAAAATTGGTTTTGTGATAACTGAATGCTTGCTGGTTTTAGTGTGCTGCCTCTTGGACATTATAAAGGCTATTACGTGCGCAAGGTGCGCGGAAATTGGCAACATTGCGTCAAGGTTCATGACCCATACCATGTGACTTCTCTGGACCAATTATTACAGCACTTTACTTTTTGGATGCGCGACAGGTTATGCGCAGTGGAACATTATTGACAACAAAATGCCGTCAGAAAGTCCAATGGTTCCTGCACAGACGGAGAAACCTCTACATTATATGTGAGTAATTTGTTTATTTTATCGTGATGTCACCTCGTGATTTATATGATTTTGTAGTCATCACACTGCTCAAATGTCACGCTGGTTATCTTCTTTGCAGGTATTTAAAAGAGTTTCGAACAACTCAGTGCCCCCTCTTCTTGCAACACAAATGTACCCAGCACAGACCTTACACTTGCTATCGCTGGCATTTCATGAATCAAAGGAGACGTAGACCCGTTCGTCGTCGCGATGGCACCTTCAACTACAGTCCAGATGTATACTGTACCAAGTATGACGAGACAACCGGTGTATGCCCGGACGGAGACGAGTAAGTAGACGATCTGTCAAAATATTCTCCGCCATTCAAAAATTTTGGTGGGAAAGTTCCATACGGGCATTTCAAAGAAAAAAAGTAGATTTTTAGCAGTTTATACTAATTTTAAAACGATGACATATATAAAAATGCATGCCAACGGGTTTGGCCGTTTCAAGAGACACATTTTTGATGTTAAATTAACCCTGATACCCGCTAGCAAAGACTTTTTATTTTGACATGATGTAAACAAAAAGCCGCCGCCATCTTGTATTTACATCTCCATTTTGTGTCAAGACCGAAATTATGATGGTTATTTCAATGCAAAGCGAATTTGTCACAGCGATCGGTGATGCTCTTAATGAACATGAAGTTATGCGGAATATTATGATATGCTTTGATGTGTCTTTCTTCTCCGCACTTGCTTATATTATTTTTAGAAACGGATGTGTTTACGTCCATGCCGCACGGCCATTGTTATCGAAATGTAGTGTGACAGAACGTCGCAAAAGAACGGATTTTATATTTGTGTCATTCTTATATTTCTAATGTTGTTGTTGTAAATGTAGGTATCATTCTGGTTTACGCATGATTAACAGATGGAAACACTTTCTTTTTTGCAAATAAATTTAACCTGAATCAGCTGTAATTTCTGTCATGCGTGCTTATTGGGACTGGCCTTGACCTTAAAGAACAACATGGGAAGTTGCACGTTTTGTATAAATAGAATATTTCTGTCAATTATGCAATATCTCAAAAGCATGTTTTTATAATTAATAGATATATTCTAATAAAAACTGTTATATAAATGAACAAAAGGGAATAAAATCTAAAACCTGTAATTAATTTATCTTTATTTCTCAATTTGATTCTATGTACGAAACATGCGGTCATCCAATTAAATTGTCAAAAGATTTCCGAAATTTCCATGTTTTGCTTGCTGGAATTGAAATAAAAAATTATTGTTTGTACATTTTTTTTTAAACTTTTACACAAATATCAGAATGAAGATACAAATTGGTTATCATTGAATGAGAAGCTGGCTCAAAATTAATCAAAATATTTTTATTTGCAGTTGCCCATTTTTACACAGAACTGCTGGAGATACAGAAAGAAGATACCATTTACGCTATTATAAAACAGGCACCTGTGTATATGAAACAGACTCTAAAGGGAACTGTGTGAAAAATGGCCCCCATTGTGCTTTTGCTCATGGAGCTAATGACTTAAGACCTCCAGCATATGATGTGAGGGAATTACAGTCTATAGATGTAGACAAGAGTTCCACTGCAAGTGGCAGCTCCTCTCTATCGCAATCAGGAACACCTAGCAGTTTAGAAAAAGAAAAAATTCTGGCTGAAGACCCAAGATGGAATGGTATGTTCTTTCTTATTGATCCAAATTAGAAATAAATCTGTATCATATTGCATTATCCAGTTTACTACCGCTCTGATGTTATACAGGTATTGAAAACCATACTGGAAATATGTTTTGATTAAGCCCCCAATAGCGACTAAGTGATAGGGGAGGACATTGAGTATTTGCCTTAATTGGTTATATGTATATATTACACTGGTCACAACATTGGTTAGACTGCATCTCTCTAATATAAGAGGTTCAACAATCAGTTGGGGTACGTGGAACTTCATTGAACATCCACTAGTAGGCGTTGGATCTCATTTTCCCTTACATTTATTTGTAGGTTCAGTATCTTAGGATGTTTTGTGTTTAGATCTGTTAGTGTTAATATAAGTACCCTTCTACTCTGTGACCTTGGTTAAGTGATTTATCATAAGTTTAGGTGCTGCAGATATGATCACTAGGGGGGGTGTTCTATTATGTATAATATGTTATTTCAATGGTGCATGCAATATTATGTAAAGCGATAGAATATTCTAATTCTGGTATATTTGTACATTTAAAAATTGCACCAGACACAGATCTCAAGTCGATTCTATTACATTGTATGACAGCACAACATTTTCATAATCATCATAAATTCAGATAGAGTATTGTGAAAACAAGGCCAGGAAGCTAATATTTATAACTTTAATTGAACTCCAGACAAGAGGAAGACAGTTTCAGAAATTTTCTCCAAAACTACCAAAAACAGCAGTATTTCAATCTTTAAACTTTCCTTAATTCACAAAAGTTTATTATGGTTATAGAATAGGCCTTTTTATCTTAGCCCCTTTATGATTACTATCTGTAAAATTTGTTGAAATTAAATCCTGATCTATCCAACATTTTTTCCCTCAGAAGGGGCATGATCTAGAATGTATTATCATATACATGTTTTCCATTTTGATCCTAATTTTGTTTTAAGATATGAAGCTTATNTCACTTTGAATAATATTTCTGTTCATGTTAAAAACAAAATCAACTCTCTGTATAAATATATCAGGTGACCGTTAAGGCCCATGGGCCTCTTGTTTAAGTTTGATATACTCTATTTAAAGTATTCCTTTTATGTTTGTTACATGTGTCGGGGGTGTTTATTCTATTTTTTGAGTAATCCCTGAAGGCAGCTTTTGAAAAATTTGACAAACCCAACCTATGATTTGTAGAATATATTGAAAGTTTTCGCAGCTTCTTACATTTGCCAGTCATGGGCATTGGTTTACCAGGCCTATGGAATTGCATGTACACATCTAGACACCACTACACTTTGTACACCTTGTAATCTGGAGATAAAGATTTTTTCTGTGAGATCCATAATCATAAAGAAATTATTTAAAAAAAATCTTTTTTAGATACAAATTATGTGTTGGCCAACTATAAAACAGAGCAGTGTAAAAGACCCCCACGGTTGTGTAGACAAGGATATGCATGTCCATCAAACCACAATTCTCGGGACCGGAGAAGAAGCCCAAAGAAACATAAATACAGGTGTGGTTTTTTTTTTAATGCAAATGTTCAAAAGGAAAAAGAAGATTGATTTCAGGAATGTTAAAGTTGTAAATTGCATGAAGATAACATTGATATTTTTGAATAATTACATATGTACAGTTATTGGACTTGGTATTTACGTTCTAGTATAATAGATTTAACAACATTTTCATAATAAGTAGCGTTTTCATTACATTCACTATTGACTGATATAATAAACTTAATGTTCCGTCATTTCTGATATTGCATATTTTCAGATCCACCCCTTGTCCTAATGTTAAACATGGCGATGACTGGGGAGACCCTATGCAGTGTGAGAATGGAGACACCTGTGCATATTGTCACACAAGGACAGAGCAACAGTTTCACCCCGAGGTAACCCTGTCTTATGTTGTCTGATCAGCTACTTTTCTGCCCAGCAATGTTGCACACAGTTACCCAAAACACCTTTTCAATATTGGTCTAATGATCATGAGCCCATGGATATTTTCAGTGCATCATTGCGTATACTAATTTAGACCTGTTCTCAACCAAAAAATGATAACATATTTTCTTAATTTTAACCTTTTATTTTCAAGTTGTTTGCTGAATTAGATTCATGACCAAATTATTAGGAAAATGTTTAAGAACATGGCCGGGAATCAGTGATATGTAATTGGCAGCCTTGCTGAATCATCTTTAGAATAATTCATATATATGCCATAGATTGCGGTGGATTTAAATAAGGCCTGACAATGTTATTTATCTGTTTGTGTTTCATCCAGAATTTTTTTTAAGTAAACATAGCCTTCCATGTTTATTTGTCATAAAGTTGTTACATTGTGTCTAGGGAACACTAGTTCTGACTGATCCTGAAAAAACTGTAGGTGTAAATCTCGTTATTAAATCACTATTGATGAGGGACTATAGATTGCCTTGTTAATATCTCTCTTGCCTTTGAGATCATATGATCTTCAGACTAGACAAGATTAAGAATGCACCAAATCGGTGTTCAAAATTGTTGGATATATACAAATCCTGCATACTTATTTAACACAGATTGTCATTTTTTGGTAAAATAGTCACTTGATTTTGTTTTGTGTTTTTCAGATTTACAAATCAACCAAATGCAATGATATGGTGCAGACTGGATACTGCCCTAGAGGACCTTTTTGTGCCTTCGCCCATGTTGAACGTGAGCATTGATCATTATGCGTGTATACATGATGCAGATATAAGTTAGGGCCATCATGGCCATAATGAATTTGGAAACTTGCACCTCTGAAATTTTGGCAAAAGTAGTGAGCTTTCTTCCCTGATAATGAAATTGTTGCTGCAGGGTGATACACTCTTTACATTACAGGGCCAAAATAAAAAAACATGTTTGTTTCCCCTTGCCCCGACCGGGTCAAAAATAAGCCCAGAGTCAAAAAATTATTTGCCCCCAAAGATCTGATTTTTTTTGTATTCCCGAAAATAATTCGTTTCCATTCCGACATTGGTTCCGATATTACCGGAAGTCTTCCCGAAACTCTCTGGAGTTATCTATCAGTTTAGAGGTATGTATCGAGGGTAAAAACGTCATAGAAATAGCGGACGTGTAGATTGAAGTGATGAATATGAAACATTTATTCTCCAGCGTCACCTACGATGATTATAAAGGTTTTGACATGGTTGATGTGTAAATACTTCAGTGTAACATCATATGTAAACTTTCCAATGAACGGCTTTGTGTCCTACGCAAACATGAAAATATTGGCGGACCGAGGCGCACATGTCATCTGCAGGTTAGGCCTAATTGAACATTTACATTGATATGTTTTGAGCCGATTGATTTCTTCAAACTATTTATCGATGATTTAATCATAAACTAGACTATAGCTAAGATATATCTATATGCCGACTGTGACAGTAAATATATTGAATGACGACCTGAAACCTGTAGCAAATCGCATGCAATTCTTGTTGAAATATCCGACCTTTTTACCTGAGAATCTCCGTGTAAATGTACGCCGTGGTATCATTTGCCAATCACATTTGCTGACAAAAATAATTTTAAAATGATCTTTATGGTGATTAAATCTGATTAATTAAAAGTTTCACCTTTTCTTACCTTTATTACCACCTGTACAGGTAAATACTGAATCAACTTTAGAATTGAAAACGTTAATATAAACTAGAGACAATAACGAACAATTTTCATATAATTTCTATTCACACATAGCAAATATTTTTCAAGTTATGCACATTTGAAAAATTGAGTAAATTAATTTATATTTCAATAATTAATTCAGCAGTAGTGTCCCTTTACATAGAAATCAATGTGGTAACTTTAATAACTGTCAAATCAGAAAGTAGTAGATATACACTCTAATGCTACATTAGTTTTATGCACTAAATGTGCATATTTTGAATAGTGCTTGAAAGCAAAAGAATTGATAATCTAAATACACTCAAATTTAGCACAAACAATGCTAACTGATAAGTGGCCTCCAGTGGACAAGTCAAACCATCCATGACATCCAGTTGAAAAAAAAAGTACCTGCCTGCCTGGTCTGTTTACAAAGAGTAGTCCCGGGGGAGGGGAAACAGACATTCTTTTAAATTGGCCCAGGTCATTTCTTTATGGCCCAGGTCATTTCTTTATGTACTTGGACAGCCACCTTGGTTATTTCAATATATCATTATTTGCATGTTGTGCCACCCACCTTGTAAAAAAAAAATGAAAATATGACTGTTAAATATGGTTATTTTTTGTTTGTTAGTTACTGGTAATGCTCCATATTGTGACAGGATTGTAAGCAGACAACCACTCTGATACAAAAAAAAAGTTTTATTTATATGGAAATCAATAAAAATAAAATGTTAACTTTTCCTTTCTTTTTCAGAGGAGATAACTACAGATAGGAATTTGTTATCCACAAGTGAAAACTCCTTAGCTGCATTTGTATCAACAGTATTGCCATCTATGACAATGGAAAGTGGACTGATGCAGTTGAATACAGATTCCATACCTGCATTAGTACAGAATTTAGGGAAAGAAAATCAAAACATAAAACCAGTAAGTTTATATATATTGGCAACAGTGCATTGTGTTCTACTTAAAATCTGAATTCTGTATATATATATGTAACATGCACATATAAGGATTCTTAAGCTATTGATTTGCTTGAGATGGTGTAAGCTGCCAGCCCAAGCAAGTGAAAAATACCAGCAATAGCCATCACAAATAATCTATAGGATACTTATGTTATCATGAAAAGAGAGTAAAAAAGCTATCCTACAATATAAACTTGATTTTTAATTGTTGATTGCAATTTTTTTCTTTATTCATTATGGCAAATGACTGGTCGCTTAGTAACAGATGATTTTAATCAGATTGCAGCTCCTACTGACTTAACTTTTAAGTAGATTTTTGCTACATTGCCACTTTGTCAACAGATTCATTGTCATCAAATTAACCAACTTTTAGTGGATACAAATATTGAATTCTACTGTAATGTTATATGAAATTTTTTTAAATCAGAATGATAGAAAAAGTAACACTTCAACATTATTTTTTTTTCAGATTCAAAATTTGAATGGATCATCAAAATTTCCAGATCCTATTGGTAAAGAACGTGGCAACAGTTTTCAAATTGTAAGTAAAAACAGATTCATTTTAATACACCTTTCAAAATTTTGACAGGTGGTGATCATGATCTCAAGTTTGCTGAAGCATTTAGACTTCTTATCTAGTTAAGATAACAAAAATAAGGAGGAATTAGGGGTAGTAATACAGGCTGTTTGGCCTACTGTTGTACACCAAAAAATACTGGGCAAGTGGTGAATTGGTTGAGAGTTGCTCTACAGTAAAGTCAAGTGAAATATAAAAACAATGGAACTAGTGTCTTGGAGCCATAAAATCATGAGATTTTACAGATATATACTAGGTTTTTTCACTGTAAATCATTCTAAATACCAAATACACAAAATTATGTTTATTAATGAAATCTGGCATTAGAAAGTAGCATTCATTTCATACTTTCAATTTGAAGCTCGTGTTAATATTCTTAAATGAATTGCAGAGTAACAACATACAAGGAAATGCAAACAGCAACACAAGCAGTCCAATGCCAGAGCCAATTGGAAAGGGCCGATCTGGTAGCACCTCAAGCAGTATTAATTCAGAACTAGGTAGTCCATGGTTTTGTCAGAAAGCACCTGGGTCAGAGCGAGATGATTTGCAGGTAAATAGTAATCTGACAGGTATTTGTCATTTTAATGCTGCAGAAGCTGAAACGTAATAACATGTGACATCTTGCAATGGATTTACAATGGAACAGTGAAAATTTGTGTGGTAAAAAATTTGGGTTGTCAATCCCAATTATCGGGTTACTCGAAAAATCTTCAGACCGAGTAACCGGTTAATCGGTCAATTTAGTAATCAATCAAAAACATTTACAAATACAATTTATATATATTGTAAATAATTAAGTAATATCTTAATTAACACAACAGTTTACTCATGTATGTCAAGAGCTCAACACCTAATCGCAGGATATGCATACATGTATTTAACTTTGTTTAGAATAATGCAGGATACAACACAAGTTACATCTACTCGAACTTAATGCGGTAATCTTGCTATTGAGAAACATAATTTGTTAAACTAATTCATTGAAACTGCACCTCTTTTAATATTTCTCTGAAATCAGTCAAGTAAGTACTCTTTGTGATTATTTAATGTCCCACTCTTAAAATTAAGTTTAACCTCGCAGAGTTGGCATTTCACAACATTGCATTCTGGCATACTTTTAAAAAAAAAAGAGACTTTTCAAGGTGCGGTCGGCATCTTTTTGTTAATTAGGGCCCCGTATCCGCATCTTTTCACTGATGAACATTTTGTTATGACATTATGAAGCAAAGTTGTTCGGAATTAAACAAAGAGACACACTGAGGTAAAAAGTCGAGGTCAAAGGTCAATGTCATTAGATTCAAAGGTCAAGGTCAAATTTTGCATAATTTCACTGATGAAAATTTTGTTATGACATGATCAAGCAAAAATGATCAGAATTAAACAACGAGTCAATTGACTCCAAAGGTCAAGGTCATTGGGTCAAAGGTCAAGGTTAAATTTTGTATTTTTCACTGATGAACATTTTGTTATGATATTAAGAACCAAAGTTGGTCGGAATTAAAGAATAAGTCAACTGACCAAAGATTAGGGTCACTGGGTTAATGGTCAAGGTCATTTGGGTCCAAAGGTCAAAGACAAAGTAGATCTTTGACCCTGGCCCTTGATGGAGGAGGTATATATGGTGAAATAAAACAAATCAAAGCTAACAAATGAGTATTGCACCGGTATTTACATTTCTGTTAGTCCAGCAAATATGGAGGTGGAAGGAAACAAGACTCACATCATAGTACATGTAAAATGTATATTTTGCTTCCTTGCGATTCTTTTTGAAGTCCAAATGCCGAACGTCAAGCTCAGCTATATGGGCAGATTGCTTCTTGATGATTATGGGGGATATATTGCCACAAGACGGGGCCCTTACTGACCTGTCAGTGTTCTAGTCTTTACTAAAGACATTTTGTACATCTACTTGTACACATTTGAGTATTTCGTTTCTATTTTTCAGGCAAAATTATGGCAACAGCTGTCAACGATAGACAATGATAACTCTTTAGAACAAGCTGAAAAACTGAAGAGGAAGCAAAACCTAGTGTTAGTACATTCAATGAGTCAAAATGGAATCAACAGTATACCAACATTGTCCACCTCCCTCAGCAATTCAGGAATGCATCAGGCCCTGTCTCCATCCTCCATCATGTCTCCCCTAGCTCCAGCATTTTACCCTACCGGAGACAATGTGACCATGGCTCCTGCGATGTCCACCTCCACACCCTCCTTCTACCCAGCTATAGATACTGTGGAGTCAGTCATAGGTACAACAAATACTAATATATGGCCAATTAACAACTATAAAATTGACCAATTTTGTCAAAATGTATGGATCTTCTCTAAAATGTATTTGTAGTTAATTTTCAAGAGATGAGAATATATTTCTTAAAGGAAAAAAATGTTTTGCAATTTATTTATTTTTTAAATGCATCTCTTGTTTTATTTAAATGTCCATTTTTAGCTCACCTGGCCCTAAGGGCCATGTGAGCTTATGCCGTACTGCAGCGTCCGTCAACTTTTTCTTTTGAACGACTACTTCTTAGGTGAACTGTAGGACCTAGGGTCATGATATTTGGTCAGTAGGTAACTGGGATGGAGTGCTAAAAAGTTTCCTCATTAAAATGACCTTGACCTACTTTCAAGGTCACAGGGGTCAAATATGTTAAAAATTTCAAACAACAATATCCTAAGAACCATTTGAAATAGAGTCCTGATACTTGGGTATGTTATGTAGACCAGCAGTGCGAATATATTTTTCAATTACAGTTACGAGGTCAAAGGTCAACTTTAAATGCTAGTTGGGGAAAATGTCAACTTTGGTTAAAAGCTTCAACAATCTTCTCAAGTTCCATAATGCCCAGGGTCATGATATTTGACCATTAGGTACCCGGGATGGAGTGCTATAAAGTTTCCTCAATGACCTTGACCTACTTTCAAGGTCACAGGGGTCAAATATGTTAAAAATTTCAAACAACAATATCCTAAGAACCATTTGGACTAGAGTCATGATACTTGGGTATGTTATGAAGACCAGCTGTGTGAATTGCTTTCTTCATTAAAGTTATCAGGTCAAAGGTCAACTTTAGGTGCAAGTCGGGAGTCAAAGGTCAATATGGGTTAAAAGCTTTAAAATTAGGATTTCAAGTTTCAAACAACAATATCTTCAGAGTCGTTTAAGAGATGTTAAAATGTCTTGTGTTTAAGTTACCGAATTTGGTCTTAAGTTACCTATATGTCTGTTGCATGTAACAAAAGAAACTGGTGAGCGATACAGGCCCTCTGGGCTCTTGTCTTTTGTTTCATAATCGAATGTATCAAACAAGCCTATCATTGGAAAATAAATAACTTTTTATAAAGATGGAGCATCAACAACAATTACTATTACTTATTTGAAGTGACATTTCCACAAAAAATATTCGCAATTTCAACAATTCTATCCACAATATGTCCTGTACATTTTCTTAAAGTTTTCTGTATTTTGAATTTTATTAAGGGGAATAATAAAAAATGTTAACAACACAAACTGCTGTAATATGCAAGTAGAGAAAGTGACATGATCTCCACCTCAACATTTCAACGCTAGGTGGCAACTTAGATTTTCAAAGTGCCTTCCACATATGCCATATGGAACAGCCTGAAAAACCGTGCATAATGTTGTCCATGTTTATTGAAGGCCATGCCTTAGGAGATCTTAATCTGGATGATATAGATGTCAACAGCATTGACAAAGATGTAGACAAAGACAATGACACAAATTCCTTAAGCAGCTCGCTGAGTGCAGGTATCCCATCATCAGGTAAGATAGATTTAACAAAACTATTTTAATAAGTCATTAACTTATAATAAATGTTTTCAGGTATTTTCTATGACGTCATAACACAACTGATTGTCACATTAATTTGATACAGGTATGTTTATGATGTCAAATGTTTCAAACTAGTAAAAAACACTATGGATAGGAGTTATAAAAATTATCGCGGGTCATTCCCCTGTTAATAGTATAGTGCAGTCTTCCTAATATGCATGTTAATAAAGAGTCCCAAAGAATTGGATTTCAACATAGAAATTCAATAGTCATTCCCGAAGAAAAAAAGCATGGGGGGCGCGGTATATCACTTCAGTCGTAATTGTTGATGGTATCAGATAGCCTGAGAGTAATATGCATGTCTTGTTTTGCAGGGTTCGGCCCTTCCTCTGTTCCTATAGGTATACCACCAGGTGGCCTACCAAGGGGAAGCATCAGCAGTCTTTCTCAGTCTCCACCTTCTCCCTATGGTAGTTTTAATCTCCCTATCCTGTCGATGCCACCACCTACCAAGCTAGAATCTGAACATGTAAGTACTGAAAACATTTCCTAATCAGGAGGGAGGGCATATTTTGTTACCATGACACTCTCATTCTGTTGTGTTGCATCTTGATTCAGTGCAATGAAAAAAGACTTAATTTTAACAGATTTTGCTTGACAAGTGGCTTTTAGTAGGGTGAGCAAGACTACAAAACTTTCTAAAGATGGTGTTTTCCAAGTAGCGATAAAGTTGGGGGTTTGTGAGCTTCCAACCCACCTGCTTTATGTATCAATGTCTATATCATAGATGTACAATGTATTAAATAGAATTATAAATGGACTAGGGAGAAATCACCATAAAAGTCAGGACCCAACATTCCCCGTGACTGGCAGAAAAGATCATAGGCTCGTCTGATGGACACAATGATCTGATTTTTGAAATGTGTGTTGTATTCACACTTTAATTACGAATATGTACTTCCAAAAACAAAACACATCAACCTAAAAGAAATAAAACAACTCACTGACAACACAGAGTTTTCAAAATATAAAGTAATTTTGAACAGAATGACATAAACTGAACATGTTTCTCTTAACATTGCATTCCTGATGTGTATGATTTTCAGCCCCCCACCCACCCCACCCCACTCCTACAAGCAGATGATAGAAAGTTTGCTTGATCACTGGAACTATCTGTTATACTCTTGCTAGGCAAGTGCTGCACTCACTCTTAAATTTGTCTTGTCTGCGCAAATTTATAAATATTCATGAAGGTAATTAGATCTTGTTAATTATAAAATAACAAATATATATATTGCATTTTATTCCCTCTTCTTTGTAAGTAGATTTAAATTAGCCAGTCCACTTAATCTGGTGCAGGTAACACATCGCAATCCTCCCTTAAAATGAATGTTTGTATAAGCCATGGAAATTGTAGCTTTATACATCTCTACCGATATTATACTTGCTTAGCAGAAATCACATCCTTGAAGGAACACTAAAAGGTTGCAGATTTTGCATGTCATTATTTTGACATAGTATGTTTTGTTTTTGTTTATTTTAGAGTTCGTCCTATTTAAACAACAAGTTTTCATATTCGGACTTCAATTCAATGTCACCGCGGAATGGTCCTGGTGGTCCCCACTCCCCTCTGTACTCGTCCTCATCTTCAAATCTCTCCAACAGTGCCCATACTACAGAACTACAGAAGCTGAAAGATGATTTCTCACACAACAAAACTCGTCTGGAACACTGGGAACAGGCCTACACACAGGCCAAATGTGTAAGCTTATTTACATTATTATTCAAACGATTTTTGACTATCAGAGGTTCTTTCCTGTCTCTTCCTTAGTGTTTATAAAGATTCAGTAAGTGTTATTGGGTTTTGATCAGTGTATAGTATTGAAATTTAGATTCCCAACAAAAAAGATGATGTAGTGTCGACATTATTTATTCATTTATTTTCACTGAACGGCCAAATGAACGATAGGCCATGATGAGTCATTTGTCTGGCATCAATTTTTGGCTTTAAAAGGTTATTGGTCTATGGTGATAATGGCTATTTGCATGCTGGGTTGCAAAGACATCAAGTTAATTCAAATAATGAACTAAACCCTCTTTGAAGGTCATAGAGGCCAAAATTAAGTTTGTTCACATTTTTGAACAACTTCTTTTGGAAAACAAAAATGCTAAGAGTGGTATATGTTTGGCTGGTAGCATGCTGGGTGGAAAGGCTCTCAACTTTATTCAAATGAATGACCTTGACCCACTTTCAAGGTCAAAGAGGTCAATATTTGAAACTTTCAAATAATTTTACTGAATAACAAAGACGAAGGTGATATATTGCCATAAAGGGATAATTTATTGTGAATTTAGTTTACATGAATAATCTTGACTCAATTTTAGGGTCACAGGGTCAAAATTGTTGCAAAATTTAAGCTATTTCTTTTTAATAACAAACAGGCAATGAGGTAATGATATTTGGCCTATAGCTTAATGGTGTGAAGTGCTAGTGCTATAAAGTGTTTGATCTGAACAAATGATCTAGACTAACTTTGAAAGTCACATTAGAACATCAAGTTAAAATCTTCACATGAAGATTCATAAGTTATAAAGTAATAAAATCTTTGTAAAAGAACCAGGATATGTAGAGGTATGATATTTAGACGTTTTAATAAATTTGAAAGTCACACATTTCAGATAAATAACAGGTGGGCAATACGGGACCACTTTGCCTCTTGTTAACTTATCTTACAAACTAAAATCAATCTGTGATTAAGTTCTGCATTATTGCTGTTTCAGGCTTGTGAAGCATGGAAAAAAGAAGCTGAAGAGTCTTTAAGAAAAGCGAAATATTATGATGATGAGAGATTAAATGCTGTTAAACAGCGGGATGAGGTAATATCTTGCAGTAGAACCAGCGAAATGTTTCAGTGATAATAAACATCTGTATGTATCTCTTCAAATTTTATCCTTGTACACACATAATGAAACTGTTTATGTGGAGGATACCTGTTACATTCATTAAATTGATACACAAGTATGGAAATATTGGGCAATCTTTGCCAACCATTAGTAAAAATGTAAAACCTCCGGTGGATGAAAGAGAATTTCAATGCATATTGAATCAGGACAAAGGGCTGAATGGATAACATGGGTGAGATGGTATCTAAAACAAAAAATAAGAGAACTATGGCCTGAGTTGATTATTAGCTAACCGGGTCCAAAGGACCAAGGTGAGCTTATGCCATACCCTGGCGTCCGTCCGTCAACAATTTCTTTAAACGACTTCTTCTTCTTAACCACTGATTGAAATTTAACTAAATTTGACTGGAAGCATCCCTAGGTGGTGGGGACTCAAAATTGTACAAATGGTGGAGCTGACCCCCAGGGTGCTGAGGGGCTGGGCCAAAAGGGGGCATTTTGGCTATATTGCTACAAACGACTTCTTCTGTAGAACTATGCACTGGATATCAATCATATTTAATCAGAAGCATTCATGGGAGGCAGGGATTCAAAATTGTACAAATGGTGTATGTGGCTGACCCCCTTTGAGGCTGAGGGGCGGGGCCAAAAAGGGTTATTTAGCTATATTGCTTTAAGCGACTTCTTCTCTGGAACTAAGAGATAGATATCAACCATATTTGACTGGAAGCATCCCTAGGTGGTGGGGATTCAAAATTGTACAAATGGTGGGGCTAACCCCCCAGAGGGCTGAGGGCTGGGCCAAAAGGGGGCAATTTGGCTGTATTGCTATAAATGACTTCTTCCGTAGAACTATACCATGGATATTGATCATATTTGGTCAGAAGCATTCATGGGAGGCAGGGATTTAAAATTGTACAAATGGTGGGGCTGACCCCACAGGCTAAGGGGTGGGGCCAACCATTTTTTATTACTTGGAAATGGTTGAGATCCCCACCATATAACCATATATACAATTACTGAGTATAAAGAGAAGAATGCACATTTGCTTCCAGGATGGCCCTAGGGTCTGGCCACACCCTTGGGGACTTAACCCCTTGTAACGTTTGAGATCCCCACCCCAAAACTATATATACAAATGCTGGGCAAAAAGAGACAAATGCAGTCATGATATTAGAATTGATCCTGGGGTCTGGCCACAACCCTAGGAACCTAGTTTCTGAGTCACAGCTTGGAAACAGTTGAGATCCCCACCCCATAACCATACCTTAAAATTGCTGGGCATAAAAACATCAAATACAGATATGCTACAAAGATTGGCCTTGGGGTCTGGCATATTCCCTTGGATCTCATTTGGAGAATATTTTGCCATGATTGCTTCGATATCCAGGTGAGCGATACAGGCCCTCTGGGCCTCTTGTTTATCCAAAATTTTAAAGTCCAGACTTGTGAGATTCCTCTTTAAAGTTGTACACAAAACCCAAAATGTCTTAAACTGATGACATTCCATTAGAATTTATGTTCAGATAGCTGAAAATTTTACATAGAACTTTTTGCACATATGCTTATGAAATATATGATTTATGCTGCAGAACAATAAACCTGAAACAAGTAAAACATCGAAGTTTTCACTTCTTTTCTATTATTCTGAAGAGTATTGGTGTGTCGACTCATTATAATAAGGACCTCCTTTGTTTACAGGCCATTATACATGCCAAAAGGCTGCAGCAAGATGTAGATACCAAACCGAACGGTCCACAAATCAGATTTCTTCAGAGAGTGAATGAATTGCCATCCTTAGGAATCCCTCAACTACAACAGCTTCACCAGCAGTTAACACGAGATTTGAAAACATTAGATGGGGTAGGTACCAGTAAAGCATAGCAAGAGGTTTAAAAATGTTGAAGGTACCTGTACATGTATCACAAAAGTTTTAAAAACAAGACGGGTAGGTATAAGCTAAAAAAGATTGTTTTATAGATGGAATTGGTAGGGGGAACAAGAGATCTTAAACTAGATCGACATGCAGGTTAATGAATTACGCATCAACAGAATATAGGTATATTCTGGAAAGAAAATCAATGAAGTTTAAAAATACAAAACTACAGAAGACAGATATTTTAAGTAACTTCTAATTAATTTAATCTAGATTTGCAAATGATAATTTTTGTGTGTGTTTGCATTTTACTTCCACTTGGATGTGGTTAAGTTATATCTGGTTGGTTGTTTGAAGTAGGGACAGTTTGGGATTGTATTTGAGGTGAAGTTCAGAGTGATGCCTATTTTAGTAACCATGGCAACTAGAAATACTTGATCCTAAACAGTAGTTGCAATGGTGTGTTGTGGCATAGTAGTAGTTTTATACCCCTGCTTTGAAGAAAGTTACAGGGGATTAGTATTAGCTGTATATATTGCATATTTTATCATACATTGTATCTTGACCATATGTAAGATAAGTTTATGCTCAATATGTTATTAAGAATAAATAAAGCCTTTATTGTTATTATATGTATTCACCTTGTGTGTTTACTGATCCATCTTGTCTTACTTTTTGGACTATATCTATCACTGTCTGAATTACAGACAGGATTACATGTATAAAATGAGAAGGCACTTTGTCATGTACAAATTGGTAACAATATAACCTCTGTTTCACCTTTGACCTGGACATCAAGTACGAAAATACAGATTTATGGAGCATATCTTGACCAGAATTGTTCTAGATAAGGACTTGAAACTTTATATAACGGTACTACATTAGAAGATGGAGTCTCGGCTACATCTCTGTTGTGATTCATCATGAGAGCTTTTGCTATCTGTCCTTGTCAGGTCATCATGCGTTAACAGTTTACATTATTGACTTCTGAAGACAACCACTGAACCGATCCTACAAAATGGTGCCCTTGTCTCTGAGTGGGAGATAGTATACATATCCAACTTATCAGGAACGGCTGCAGTGATTTACTCCAAAATTAGTAAAAATGTACCTCATTTGGTCCTTAGAAAGTGCTCATACTTAAGTGTCTGACTGAAAATTAAAAATGGCTGCCCTGTCCTTGGATTGTCTGAGACTTTTTGAGAAGTGTTTGTTTTGTGCCAGTAAAAATAATAGTAACAATATTTCTCAAAACTCAACCTCCAAATTTGTTTCCTTTTCAGTTAATAGTATTCCATCAACAGAATGTGAAGTGTATGATATGTCTGGAGAAGGATAGGACCGTTACAGCCAGGTTACAATGCAATCATCAGATGTTTTGTGAAATGTGTGTTACTAAGATTATGGAATGTCCTGTGTGCCACACCCACATACAGCGACCAAGCACAGGCTACAACAGGTTGTAATAATGGACTTGTTTAGGATTTTCAAATTTATAAATGAAAATTGACTTGAAAAGTGCTAATCATCTCATTTTCATCAACATTTGTTATAGATTTTATTTTCTCATTTTGTTGGAATTATGTTCTGAATTTTTCTGTTGAGAAATATTGTACACTGGGAATTCTTTTGTTTATTCGTTAATTAAGAGGGAAAATGAACACGTTAATGTGATAATTATGTACTTTCTCAGATTGATTTTTTTTTATAATAAAGTACAAGGTGGACTTGAGCTTGTTCACATATATAGTTCAGCATGGTTAGTGCTAGTTTTCCCAGTTAACAATTCTTCACACAGAAAACAAGACATTTTTATTTTCATTTTACAATTGTTAAGTTGATACATATTGGTTTTTCTTAAACAGATAAACTTTAAATGCTTTCTCAGTAGGTTTTCAATGTTTACTCAGAATGTATTATCACTGGTTTGATAACAACTCTGTTTCATCTGCAATATTATCAAGTATATATTTATATGTCGATATATGATTAGGTAGATAGTATCCAAAGTTTCATCAGTATGAGTTTGTTGTAGAGTCGTTTTTGGTAGCAAAGGGTTTCATGTTACATCATGCTAGGTCAATCAATTTTTATTGTATTTTGAGAATGGTGAAGCATGCTTACAAGGACAGAATGGTATTTCCCTCAAAGGAATCTGGAGTAATATTGTATAATTAGAAGCTGATCTTATTAACAGTGTATTATCAACGAGCTTCATTACTCATCCTAGCTCATTTTTGCCTCATCCTATTACTACTGTACACATGTATGTAGTTGTTTTTCATTGATGTGAAATAGATTTAGACCAGTCTGTCTTTTCCATATTGTTTTACAAAATTAAATTGTTTTATAGTGGGAAATAACCATGCACGGAGAAGTTGACTAAACACACTTTCTGTGAAGTCTTGTTTCCTGATACATGGATGCACTGTGAAATTAGATATTTTCACAGGGCCCAAATTTTATAGTTTCCTGGAAGTTTCATGGATACGTAAATTCATGGATTATGAGAACTCATCCAAAGGGAGAAAAGTTTTACATCAAACTTGTCATAACTTTATTGACCTGTGAATTTGTGGATTAAGATTAATTTCTGAACCAATAAAATATATTTTAGGAAACCTTGAACATGTTGGAACCATTACCAGGAAACGTGCCATGTTTTACAAGCCCTCACTTATGGGTCAAGGTCACTAATAGAGGTCAAAAAGCGAAATCTAAAAAGAATTGTCTAGACCATTACATCTTTATCACAGAAGATATCGTTTTTATTGAAACTGCCAAGACCTTGTATTATGTTTAGGATCCTCAATCTTGCAAAGGTCAAAGTTGAAATCAATTTTGCTTGTCCAGAGTATAACTTTGTTGCAAAAGATTTTGGAGCTCAATTTCATCAATCTAGATATTGTCAATGAATTTTAGTTGCTAATGCACTATTATTGGGTAATACTATAGGCCCAAGGTAACTCATGGTCAGGTTCTATAAATCCTGACAAATGGATGTTACACATGTCCTAGCAGGCTTCAAGTTCATCGCCACAATATGTGGTCAAAAATCTACTTTCTTATTCTTGTGCTTTTATATTAAACAATAAATCAAATAAGATTTAATAACATTCTTGGACTTAATCTTAAATAGATGTGTGTATTGTACTTGTTTAAGATAGTTAAGTGACAAAGACTCTCTGGTGATGAGATTTCAATGAAAATATCTTGACATTTTTATAGACAGGCATTCATATTCCCTTTGTCGTACCATTGTTTAAACAAGCTGATTTATTTCCCAGCCAGTGGTTGATCTGATAATGGAAGTAGTAGGATGTTATAACAATAGATTTTCCTAAATCTACTGCATTTACTCATTCACTGAATATCATTTGTATAAATCTGTCTTCAGTATTTCCTGGCAAAGCAGAAAGTTTAAGCTCATCCATCATAGCTCAGAGAGCAGAAAACCAGATTTTATCTTAATGTTTCATCTATCATTGAAGAAATTTAGATTTTTGATACCTTTGAGTGAAAAATAAATAAAGGAGAATGTAATATGTAACCAAGATATACCCAGATTTAGCATAAGGAATCATGTGACCTGCAGACTATTAACCTGAGGGACAGTCACATATATGCATGCAAGAACGGTGCATTTCATCAGAAACGTAAATAAGAATCGGATTTGAAAATGTTTTATTCATGCATACTGATTAGTATAGTTATTGGTGAAGTTAAGTGAAATCAGTTTTAGTCCCACTGTGTGTCATTAGATATTTATTATCATTTGTTTTGTTGATCGAGTCCATTTTGTTTATTTACATCGTCTAGTTTCCAATTTAACCCCTGTTTTAAGTAGTCATAGTCATTAAATTGGCCCTTGGAAACAAAACAACAAAGGCCTGATTTCTGTACTGTTTTCGGTATGATTTCTGTACTGTTTTTGGTATAATTTGTGTTGCATATCCTGAAATGTGTTGATTTGCTTTAACCTGAAATGATATGCAAGCTATGTGATTACTGTCAAGCAGTTTTTTTCTTTTGAACAACATTGTCATTATTGAAAATTGTAATCATACATGTCAACCATGATCATTTAAGACTTAAGGGTGCTTTGTGGCAGTATTTGTATCTTGAAGCACACACGATGTGTATATGACAGTTGACTTGTGGCCAGATCTTTATCTTTTCCCTGTATAACCAAGCCATTCTGAACTCTTGTTTTTCACATAGTCGAAAATCTGAACTCTGATCGCACTTAACTGAGTTGGTACATATAGTAGTTTTTGTTAAGTCTTGTGATGTTTCAAATCTCTGTACAGGAAAGTTTTTCAGGAATGAATCTAGCACTCGGCGTCACCAGTGGCATAAATAGAATAAAGTACTCTATCAACAACTTCACATGCTCCTCCCTGGTTCTGACAGAAAGAATGCTCTCTAAATATATTGAAGGGGTTATATTGAGCAAACAATTATTGTACAGCTTTGACCAAGAAAAGGGAAGAAATTCTGTTATGATAAATGAAAGAAAATTGATGATCATTTTAATACAACATTCACCTGTACATAAACATTAATTACTGAAATAATCAGGAGTGTGAATTCATTTCAGTGATGTGATACCATGCTATTTGATAGATTTTTCCAAATTTTTGTTGTTGTTTTATTTTGTAACTACCAGAATTCCAAACAATTCATGAAATATACTTATTATGAAAACCTGTCTACATAAATTTGTTCATGGTTTCACAACATATATTAGATAAAACAAAAATACTCATGTACATTTTCTTTTTTTGGCAAACTTTTTTTTTAGCTCGCCTATTCGAAGAAAACATTAATTAAGTGACCTTGAAATATGTTGGCGTTAAGTGAGGTGGCAAATGAAATGACAGGCATCATATCAAGGTTCTACTGTACATGTGTTTCTATTGATATTTGCTATCTTACAACATATCAGCAATAGGTGAGCTATGCTGTTCTCCAACAGCTCTGGTTATATTCCAAGTCTGAAATTGGATCACAAGTTAAAGGGGAGGAAATGTTCCTTGATAATGAGAAGATGAAATTATTACTTGATACCGCGGTAATCGTTTATTTCCGTCAAAAAGCTGGATTTGGTGGTTTCATTATTGGGAGAATAGATGTGTTAATTTACCTCACTTCATGCTATTGTCTTTTCAACGAACATCAAAAACCTGATTAAGAAATGGCTGTAAAAGGGCAGCTACAGTGGCCCATGGATTAGTCCTGTTGTCAGCTACATTAAGTGAGATTTACCCCAATGAGCATCCTTTATAGCAGTGATGACGTTTAGGGCGTATATATTGGATGTACATCACAAATTCAGTTATTAAGTTATGTTATGTTTACTCCTTCAGAGTTTCACTGAGATTTCAGAACCAAACTAATGAAAGCCACAAATAAGCACTTCAAAATCAATCTTGACCATCAGGAGTATATTAATTTCCTTGGCTAACATGTTGGTAAATAATTGCAGATTATAGTAAAGAAAATGTTGCATAACTGCACGAGGCTTCGAGGTTGATGATTTAGAGTAAATTTTAAAGGGACATACATTGATGTACTTCTTCTCGGGTCTACAGCTGTAATTTACCCTGTAATGGAATAGGTCTAAAGCAGTTTACTACAGCAGTAATTTACCCAGTAATCGAATAGGTCTACAGCAGTAATTTACCCAATAATGGAAAAGGTCTACAGCAGTAATTTACCCTCTAACGGAAAAGGTCTATAGCAGAAAATTACCCTCTAATGGAAAAGGTCTACAGCAGAAATTTAACCTCTAATGGAATAGGTCTACAACAGTAATTTAACCTCTAATGGAATAGGTCTACAGCAGTTATTTACCCTCTAATGGAAAAGGTCTTCAACAGTAATTTACCGTCGAGTGGAATAGGTCTACAACAGTAATTTACCGTCGAGTGGAATGCTAACCAGGCTTCATCTAAAATTAATGCAAATGAAATGAACTCCAATAATCGGCTGTTTTAAAAGACAACTACATCCAACAAATAGTGGTTTATGATAGTTCACTTGTGCTCTGTTTGAGTACTCTTTAATTCACTTCTGCATAAAACTAAAAATTATGGTAATACAATGTATAAACCAAATTAATGGGGTTTCTTCATATGAACATGTATCGATAATTGACTTTTAACTGGCAGAAATCTCTTTAATGCCAGGCAGTGTACGATTACAACAGTATGACATCCATACATGCTTACAATGTGTGTTGTGGTGTATAGGCTGCTATTGGCAATATAACAAATGTTATTGCATAAAAAGATTCAATGGTGTGGAGAAATTTTGTATAGTAGTTTGCCAAAACAACACAAATGGATCACTGTTTCTTTGTTTTAATGATGATTTTATGATAAAGATGATAAGTCTTGAGAGCACAGACTGAAAAACAGGTAACCTTGTAGAATTTGCTGTGAAATAGAAGTTATATAAGGTTGAAATTGAATATGTGTGTATTATTTCTGTTAAAGTAAAATACATAGATATTGCTAAATATTTAAAGGTTTGTGTTTGTGAGGTGATATTTAAGGCAGTCACTGAACACAAAGACATCTTGTTGTGTGTATATATATGATCTTAGCAGTCATCTGCAAATATACCATCGATATGGAATAATCTATTCCTTTGCCACTCGCCAAAAATACCAATGTTGCTATCTAAAAATTTCACATCACAGTTGCTGTCAATTTAGATGTCGTGTTTGAAGCCAAATCAGTGTGGCAAATTGGAGTGTCTCAAAACCTTGCATGAACAATTAACATTATAATGGTGTCGGAAGTATTTTATTGGCGACATTCGATGACACTCTGGGACTGGTTCTGATATTGATTTTAAGATGATGATTACATTGAATTTAATTAAGAGGATACGAAATGGGTAATATTTTGTGTATATTTTCCTCTGCACTTTAGGCTATAGGTGAAAACTACCAAAAATGGATTCCACATGAACACTGCTTACCAAAATTGAATAGCAGAAGTATAATTAGATTTACTTCCGTTTCATTTTTTTGCAGCCAATATAAAAAAATGTCCAAAACCTTGTGATACTATTTATTCAAAATTGTGTGAAAATAACATGATGCAAAATTCAACCTGCTTTACAGTAGCGATTGCAGAAAAAATTACATGCAATATTTTTATGCTTGCATTAGAATACACTTTTTTGTGTGTGGATTTAGTTGATAGTTTTACACATCATCTCTTATTAGTACATTGTAAACCCTTAACTACAGATATTTGCATTCCTGTCAACTTTCCCATCACCTGTTGGTCACTGGTGTCTGTATGCTATGTATAAAATGAAGACAAACACTTAATGCAATTGATTCAAGTTGATTATCTTCTATGGTATGTGCCATTCAAGTCCTTATTTGTTTAGTAAGTGATGTACATAATTACCATACACAGGTCTTGCTTAGACTTTTAAATATTTTAAAACTTATGAAGAGCAGTAGCTAGCTACAGAGCCTGATACGTTTTGTTCCTATAGACTACCTATTCCACAGCTGATCAGTGTTTTTGGGGTATACGGTGCATTTTATCTTTCACAGTTGATGAAAATATTTTTAATTCATAAGTGTTGATCCATAGGTTGTACTTTCCCTATCTCATTGCATAAAATGTACATGTATTCTATCGTTTTCATTTTATGAGTCTATAACAACCTATTCACAAAGTGTTTTATTGGTAACTGTATGTAGTGTGAATTTTAGAATATATTTGATTTGTTCTTAGAAACATTTCCTTTTTTTTTTTTTTTCGACGAGAAAAGGCTTAGCTTTTGGAATTTGAAAGTATATGTACTTACAGTAGTATTGGTGTTTCAATCTCTGGATATTTTGACAGCTTTCTCCAGTTTTCCCATAAGTAGTTTTCGGTTTAGCATGTAACTTTAAAATAGAAGGACAGTAGATGCAATTTGCAAACTGTTGACAACATTATATTTTTTATGTCATATTGCACATGACAGATTTTGATCTACTTACTTTATCCAAGTCAGTGGACCAGACATCTTGAGTTAACTTCAATTGGCGATGTGTTGTAAGATACAAAATGTATGTTCAGCAATAGTTAAGATGGAGCTGTTATGCCATGATGGAGCAATTAATTAACGATCTGTTATTACCTGGAGTATGAACAGATTGTTATGAGAGGTGATACTCTCAATGGCGAGAGTTTGGCCCGCTGGTTAGGGCTTAGAGTGTGTGATGAGAGGGAGGTTCTATTTTATAGTATACGGTAATGCATGATATCATTAAAATGTGTTATACTCAGGGCATTTTGGGCAGTACATGTTTTTATAAAGATTTTTTTTTCCCTCAGCCAGGTGAAATATTACAAAGAGTGGAAGAAATAAAATTTTGTATGAAGTTTGACAAAAATATATTTGAAATTGATTGATCCACAAGATACGAGTTTCTATTGTGATATTCTAGGAAGGTATGTACACATTCACACTGAGGACTTTGTATGTAATTGTGTTTCGGCAACAAATTTAGAATTTTAACTTTCTTTTATTTCGTTTTCGTTTTCCTTGGATGTAAAAAATTCTCATTTTAAAAATGGCATTCATGTTTCTTGAATGTAATGAATTGAATTTCTGTAGCTTTTTTTCGTTGAATTCTGAAGGTAATATGTGAGTTTATATTTTATTTCTAAAAACAGTGTGTCTTTACTCTTCAGTTTAAATGTAGGATTCTGGTAGTATTAGCCTGAGTTCAAATACAGTGCTTCCTTAAGTTGAAATGCAATTTTCTGGATAAAACAAAACATTTTGCCTTAAAGCACTATAAGCATCTGAATCAACCAGCCGGTCTAATTTAGAAGACTTAACTGGGTTTTCATTTGACCCTTGTTTTGAATGTCCAAAATAAAACTTGACTCTTGGGTTTAAAAAACTTGCTATTTAATAAATGTTTTGACTCGCCATGTTTCAATTTAAAAGTGAAGTGATGTGATAATTGCTATCAACAGTCAAATGAAAGCCCTGATTTTGATTTTCTTCGTAGTTAACTCATTATGATAAAATCGCCAGTAGCTAAGCGGAACATACTGAATATATTGTGAGTATCAACAGTAAATAATATCTTTGAAAACTAGAGAAAGGGGATTGCAAAGCATATCTTATTGTACACGGGGATTGCAGCTAGAACTATGTATAAAAGGTTTCACCACGGACCTGCTGTTATGTATATTAAAATCGTGAATTTTATTGGTAAACACCTGTGTTAGACATATTTGTACTCATTCATGAGTAAGCATTTGTAATAATAATTCACAATTCTCATAAAATATTGAACATGAATTTGTCTTTCTTCATTTTT